CAATATCAGAAGGATGTTGATGTGCTGTGCATCTATTAATTAGGAAAGAGAGGCATAAAAATAATTTTTAGACATTTTAAGACACTTAAAAAAGCATCTTCTGCAAACAGTGTGCCTTCTGGGGGTGACAGGGCATGAGGGCCTGCCCACATGGGATTCTCCTCAACCCTGCTGTTGAGGGGAAAGGATGTGAGGAGGAAGAGGAGATGACCGCGTGTCAACTGGTTGAGGAGCTGGTGTCGGCGACAGGGTTTTGGTTCCTATAACCATGGGACCTTGTTTGAGGATCAACATCTGCTTGGGAGAGATGGGACCTACCTCACTAAGTGGGACAACAGCGTCCTTGCCAGCGGGATGGCTGAGCTGGTAAGAAGAGCTTTCAGCTAGGAATGATACAGGAGGGACAGTCACCAGCAGCCCTGGGACAGGTCTGACGAGCAAAGGGGCTGGGGAAATGTGAACAAAAGGGAACAAGAAATCAACACATCAAGGCTTGAGCCAAACTCAAGCATTTGCACGTAACCAAGGCAAAATTACGGAATAAAACCTCAGACCCTTTTCGGGGAAATGAGCACGCTGGGGTGCCTCTCTGAAGTGCCTGTGCACCAGTGCACGCAGCGTGGGGAATAAGCGGGATGAGTTAGAGATGTGTGTGCAGTTCCATGCCTGTGACCCCACTGGGATCACAGAGACATGATGGGGTGGCTCCCATGACTGGAGTGTTGCGATGGAGGGATACTGGCTCTTTAGGAAGGACAGGCTGAGAAGACCAGGAGTTGCCCCTTATGTGAGAGAGCAGCTGGAGTGCCTGAAGCTCTGCCTGGGGATGGGTGAGGGGCTGACACAAGGATGTGGGCAACTCAAGGATTAAACAGCAGACCAGTATGGATGACACTGTAATGGGTGTCTGCTATAGGTTACCTGACCAGGAGGAACAAGCAGATGAGGCCCTGAACAGCCTCATGTTCCCAGGCCCTGTCCTCATGGAGGACTTCAGTCATGGAGAGCACCAGGGACAACTTCCTGACCCAAGTGATAGAGGAGCTGATGAGAACAGATGCTCTGATGGACTCACAGACAAGGAAGGGCTCCTTGGGGATGTGGAGGTCGAAGGCAGCCTTTGTTGCAGCAACCATGAGATGGTGGAGAGCCTGAGAGGTGGGAGCATTGCAAAAAGCAAGCTCATAACCCTGTAGAGGGACCAGAATGGCCTCTTCAAAGTCTGCTCTAAAGAGTCGCTGCATGGGATAAGGCCCTGGAGGGAAAATGGGTCCGAGAAAGCCGGTTGATATTCAGCAATCAACTCCTCCAAGCTCAAGATTTGTCCATCCTAATGAGCAGGAAGTCAGGCAACAATGCCAGGAGGCCTGAGTGGATGAAATAAGGGCTCCTCGCCCACAAAAAGGAAAGACCACTGAAACTTAAAAAAGAATCATACAGAGCGTGGAAGCAGGGACAGGTAAACTGGAAGGAACACAGAGACACTGTCTGAGCATGCAGGGCTGAGGTTAGGAAAGCCAAAGCCCAAAAGGAATTGGATCTGGGGACGGGTGTCAAAGGCAACAAGGGAGGCTTCTACAAGTGCATAGGTGACAAAAGGAAGACTAGGGAAAACATGGGCCCACTGCTGAATGAGACCAGGGACAGGAAAAGGCTGAGGTACTGAATGCCTTCTTTGCCTCGGTCTTTATTAGCAAGACCTGCCTGCAGGAACCCCTCATCCCACAGACCGTAGGGAAAGGTTGGAGCAAGGAGAATGTATCCTTGAGGGAAGAGGATCAGGTCAGGGAATACATAAACAAGCTGGACACGCCCAGATCTATGGGCCCTGATGGGATGCACCCATGAGCGTGGAGGGAGCTGGCAGATGTCACTGCAAGGCAACTCCCGATACTCTTTGATTGATCATGGCAACCGGGAGAAGTGCCCAAGGACTGGAAGAAACCAAATGTCGCTCCTATCTTCAATAAGGGGAGGAAGGAGGACCCACGAAATTACAGGCTGATCAGTCTCACCTTGATCCATGGGAAAGTGATGGAGCAGCTAATCCTGGAAATCATTTCCAGACACATGAAGGAGAAGATGATAATTGGGAGTAGCCAGCATGGACTCACCAAGGGGAAATCATGCTTGACCAGCCTCAAAATCTTCAGTGATGAAATTACTAGCTTGGTAAGCAAGGGCAAAACAGTGGATATTGTCTACCTGGCTTTCAACACTGTCTCACACAAGATCCTCACAGAGAAGCTGTTGACGTGTGGGCTGGATGAGCAGACGGTGTGATGGATTGGAAACTGGCTGGACCCAGAGAGTGGTGATGAGTGGCACGAAGTCTGGCTGGAGGGCAGTAACTAGTGCTCTGCCTCAGAGGTCGACACTGTCCCACATCTTCATTTGTGATCTGGATGATGTGTACCCTCAGCAAGTTTGCTGGTGACATCAAACTGGGAGGAGTGGCTGTTAAGCCAGAGGATCGTGCTGCTATCCAGAGGGACCTCAACAAGCTGGATAAATGAGCTGACAGGCACCTCACGAAGTTCAATAAGAAGTGCAAAGTCCTGCACCTGGGGAGGAACAACCTCAGACACTGGTACATGCTGGAGGCCACTCAACTGGAGAGCAGATTTTCAGAAAAGGACCCCAGGGTCCTGGCTAAGAGTGTGCCCTTGCTGCAAAGAAGACTAACGGTGTCTTGGGCTGCGTTAGGAAGAATGCTGCCAGCAGGTAACTCCTCCACGCTGGGGAGGCCATACCTCGAGTACTGCGTCCAGTGCTGGGCTCCCCAGTACAAAAAAGACAGGGACAAACTGGAGAGGGTGCAGTGAACGGTCACAAAAATGACAAAGGGACTGGAGCACCTCGCCTAGGAGGAAAGGCTGATAGCTGGGACTGCCGAGAAGGCTCAGAAGGATCTTACAGATGTGTATAAATACCTGAAGGAAGGGTGCAGAGAGGAGAGAGCCGGGCTCTTGTGGTGCCCAGCGATGGGACAAGAGGCAATGAGAACAAACTGAAACACAGGAGGTTCCCTCTGAACATTGGGAAACACTTTTCTACGGCGAGGCTGACTCACAGTAAAGAGAGAGAAGTTGTAGAGTCTCCATCCTTGGAGATATTAAAAAAACTGTCTGGACATGGTCCTGGGCAACTGGCTGGAGGTGGGGTTGGTGCAGGTGTAGGGGCGGGTTGGGCCAGACAGACTTCCAGAAGTCCCTGCCAACCTCAGCCGTTCTGTGATTCTGTACTGTTCTAAATGTTCTAAAGTAGTTATTTACAACTAGTTGATAGGAAGTATTCAGAAAATGTAGAGATGTAGAAATTAGCTTCCACGTGCAACAGTTATAATTATTTATTACCCAAGTTGGTAAATTAATTTCTTCGAACATAATTTTTGAAAAGAGATTTAATACTGAAGCAGAGGAAATATATTACCAATAGTCAGCAACAAAGGAAAAATGAGACTACTCTATAATTCTTACAATTTCTCATTATTAAAATAATTGAAAAAAAAAAATAAAGGAAAACATTGCCAATTTTCTACAAAGGAATGGAATAAAGCACAGTACATCTCCACAGCTTGTATGCTGTAGTTTTTTGTTGAATGGGGATTAAAAAAAACCTCAAAAATTAACCTAAGAAAAATTAATTAACACTTCATTGAAAATAAATTTGGTGTCTCAAGTGAATGTCAGTGTATGGATCTTGATATCCCATTTTACTTAACATAAGCCTTCCTCTCAAAATTCATTTAAATGAGCATCCTCACAGAAATTTCCATGTACTCTGAAAACGTGAAAGGGCACAAAGTGACATCATCTTAAAATAGTAAAATTAACAGAGAGCGGAGGACAAAAAATATTTGTTTCTTATATGTATTTAGTGGGATGCAATGAGGAGAACTGTAACAAGAATTTCCATCGTGGATTTAGCAAACAGTGTAAGTAATTTAATTGGGAGCAGTGACGCCTGTGTGGGTGGCAATGCCTCTGAATGCTCTGAAGGCATTTTGAATTTCAGAGCAGCTCACTATCCCTCTCTCGAGCGGCTAAGCCTGAGCCCGTGCGCAGCTGCGGGAGGGTCCGCGCTGTGGCATCTTTTTTTCTTTTGGCTCTGACATCTGCCAAACCCAGGTCGGAGGTTCCTGAGGAGTGCCTGCCGAGGGGACCCTGTGCAAGCTGGGGACATGCCCACAGGCGTGCCTCCCCCGGCAACACTTCACCTTAGATGGCTTTGGAGCCGATGCTGGCACTGCTACCCCAGCGACGCTCGGCAAGGGATGCCCTCCGAGGCCTTTTGGTTTTGTTGGGGGAAGCACCAAGGAACGCGTGGAGAAGCGGAGGTCAGGAGGGGGTACGGAGCGAAACACAAAGAGGAGCACGCACGTCGAGTGTTCGGGTGTGGCGAGATGCAAAGCAGAACTTCTAGGGGCGTGGAGAGGCCAAGCGCATGAAGCTTCAGGTCAGGCACCCGTCTCGTGGGGAAGGATGGACCCAAGGCAGAGGCAACGGTGGGAGGTGACGTGGCGGGCGTGGGGAAGGAGGCCGGGGTGCTGGTGTGAAAAAGGGAGGAGAAACCGCACCCAAAGGATGGGCAAGGAGGCTGGACAGAAACCGGGGCGGGGGGGAAGGACAGGGGGGAGAGGAGAGGTTGGGAGGCAGGTGAGGGAGATGCCAGGGCCGCGGGAAGGAAATGAGGCTGCAGCGGGGCAGCAGGGGTGAAAACTAGGGGTGAGGGGAGTCCCGGACGGGGGGAGGCCGCGGGGGAAAAAGTGCCGGCGTGGAAAAGGCGACAAGGAAAGAAACAGGAGCGACAACGCCCGGGCACACCCACCCGCCAACTCGCTCGTGTCTCCCACAACGCACCCACGCCCCCAAGCGCGCGCTCGCACACCCACGGAGCCTCAGCCTGCCCCCCCCCACCTCACCCCCCCCGCGCCGGCGCCCGCGCAGGCCGTGGGCGTGCAAAGCGCGGCGCGAGCGGCGCGGGACCGCTGTCCCACGCGCGGGTACGAACAGCTCGGGCTCTGCGGGCTCCCACGCACGTTTCTAGACGTACCCGCGGCTGCGCGTCCGTGCGCAGGGGCGCGCCCGCGTGCACCCGCAGACGCGGGACGCGCGGGGACGCGCGGCGCTCCGCTCCCCACCGCGCCCGCGGACGCGCGCACGGCCCACGCACGTACAAACAGCCCTGGGTACACGCGCGGCCACGGGATATACCCGCAGAGATGCGCACGCACAGGCGGCCGGAGCACATACGCCCACCCCATCCTCATGTCCTGTCGTGTCGTGTCGCGTCGCCCCACGCGCCCGGACGCCGCTCCTCCCGCTCCATGTCGGCGCGGCCCCTTTAAATGCTAATGAGGCGGCGCGAGTGCCGGCGCCGGCCCCCGCTGACTGTGTTAAAACTTCGGCGGGGCCATTTTGGGGGCAGTAAGACCCAGCGCGGCCCCAGGGGACACCCGCTGCTGCGCGCCCACCGCCCGCCACCATGAGTGAGGCGGCGGAGACCAGCACCGCCAGCCCGGCGCCCGCCAGCACCACCGCCACCGCCACCGCCACCGCCGCCGCTCCGGCCGCAGCCTCGGCGCTGCCGGCGCCCGCCGCCCCGGACGCCAAGCCCAAGAGCCCCGTCAGCGCTTCCGCGCCGGGCGCGGCTGGTGGGGAAGCGGCTGCCGGCGCCGCCGCACCCCCCCCGCCTCCTCCCGCCACCACCACAACCACCGTGGCCGAGACGGAGAAGAAAGTGCTGGGTGAGTGCCGGGCCCCGCGCCCGACTTCCCGGGGCACCTGCGGCGGGGGGGGGGGGACACACACACAGCACATGGCAGCCGCCCGGGGCCCAGCCGAGCTCCCCCCCCCCCACACTCCTCGCCGCCCCGTGGCTGTGAGTCAGGCTGCCCTCCTCCTCCTCCTCCTCCTCCTCCTCCTCCTCCTCCTCCTCCTCCTCCTCCTCCTCCTCTGGCCGAGCGGCGCCCGGCCGGGACGCCAGCTCGGGGTTGGGCCGGAGCACCTGTGTGCGGCGGCGGCGGCGGCGGCGTCCCCTGCCCCGCCCGGCCCCGGACAAACGGCCGCGGGCGGTTCTGCGGGGCCGGGCGGGGATCGCGAGCCAAGTGCAGCCATGTTGGCGGGGCTTCCCGGCACCTGCCGCCGGCCCCGGCCCCCGAGGGGCATCTCCGCTCGGAAAGGGGTGCCTGGGGAGCGCTGCGTGCCCCCCCTTTCATCCTAACGTCTTTGCGCTACCTTTCTGCCCGTGAAGAATAAATACTGCTTCAGCAATGCCTGTAGGTTCAGTGGGTGTTTTGTTGTTTCTTTGTTTTTTTAGTTTCTACTTTGTCAGTAAAAAGGTGAGCGAAATGCCAAGTTGCCATCTTTATGCTCAAGCCCAGTGCATAGCTAGTGTGCTGTTTTTTTTTTTTTCATTGTCATCAACCTGTTGAAAAGGACAAGACTTCAGTATCCAGTGGAAATAAGGACCTACTGTTTATAACTGTGTGATTTTAAGAGGTTAGCAAAGGCCAAGTTGAGGCTGACTACTAGTGCAGAGTCCTGAACTTCACTAAGGAAAGACAGCATTTTCTCTTCTGAAGGGAAAGACTGAGGTGTTACTGCAGCAGATAGAGGAACGAGGTAAAGGATTTCTCCAGAACTGAGGTAGGAAGGAATCTAGCAAAAGAGAAATTGGAGGTATGGTTTGCTTGATTTTTTTTTTTTCCCCCCCCACCCCACCCCGTTCTGTCATCCAATTTGTTAGTAATTGGTTAAGGCACAACCATATCTGCTGGTGTGTCTGACTGCTTCTTGCCTTAACGTGGCTTGTTTCACTACTGGTAGTGTTTTTACCTTCTCCACTTACTTCTGTTGATTGGGGAGGGGAGGAAATAATGAAGGCACAAGTGCCTTTCCTGGTCTAGCAGGAAAAAGACAATTACTGTGGTGATGGCTTTACGTGCTGGCCTTATTGCTAGGCCAGCAGGATTTGTAAGGAAGATGATCACTGTTAACACTTAATTGAAAATGGATGTATGTTCATGCCTCCCACAAGTGTCCCTACTAATGATTTTGTCATTATGTTCACTTAAGCCTCCTCTTACAAAGATCCCATTAGGTCTCATGCTTGCCCAGGGCATCCAGATGTACGAGTTCTAGGAATAAGGATGAAAGTTATTCAATCTTCTCTTCTCTCTTGGTCACTGGAAGCTTTGGCTTTCCTTGTTAAAAGTAGTGAAAAGGCTATTTTGTCATGGTTCAGAGTAGCTGGTCATTGTTTCCTCTGATAGCCTCAAAGTACAGCATCTTGTAGAAGTATGTGGGCTTTCACTTGCTAGTGGGATAGGTATCATCACACCAACTACCTTCTCTGACTTGTCAATAAAACTGGTTATGGTTTCTTCAGGCTTGCCCTCCTCCTTGGCTGATCTCCCTGCTGCGACAGCTCAAGCTTAATGGCTGCGCCACTGCCACATGCATGCTCAGTGTCATGCTGTTGTCTGAGGTTCTTCCCTCACCGTGGTAATGTTTAGGGGAGACTAGTGTGGGTAGGGAACGGTGTTTTCCTCAGTACACTGTCTTAGGAAACTCACCCGTGGTCACCGGCAGCTTGTGCAAAAGAAGCAGTGTTGCTCTGAAGCCGTGTGCGTGAATGTCCACTTAGCAGCAGCCAGCTGGCCATGGGGAGTCAGTTTTGACCACCTCTCCTTCCACTAGCTTTCTGACTTCTCTGAAGGTTTTCGTCAGGTTTCCTAGGCTTATTGCCCTCTTCCTAATCTGACTGAAATAGGCCAACAGATTTTTAGAGCTGTTTTGTGGGGGAGGGAAAAGAGGATGGCAAGGTGGTATTAGCCTTGTTTCCTAAAGCAGGCTAAAACCTGCGTGTGCCATGGGCACCTGTTGCTGTGCTTCCCCCATCCCCTCTTCCCCTGTTGACTTGTCTTAGTGCAGTGAGCTCTTGCATGTAGCTCGTGCCTCTGTGGCAGCAGGGTCTGTACCTAGTGATGTGCCTGTGGAACTAAACTTAAAAGCATAACTATAAATGTTGATGCTGAAGACTGTTGTTGTGACTGAATCAGTGCTAGGCAGTGAAACTGAAGGGGTTTATCACTGTAAATGAGAAGTCTTGGGAATGGGTACTGCACTAGGTAGAACCTTTTCCTCTAGTGACTGGCTCAGCCTTAACGTGGTTCTGCTTCTTCTAAATAAGAACATTTTCTCTTAAGAAAGTGTATTAAAGACGACCAAAACCTTCACGTCTAAAAGTGTATGAAAAATGACCTGTTACTGCTTTTAGTAATGTTAGTAATACTACAATGGACTGGTATCAGTAAACTTTCCTGCTTTAGCTCTGTATTTGGGGGAGGAGGAAGAGGTTGCTCTTTTTGTCTGTTGGGGGGGGCATACAAGAATGGCAAGACTGCATGAGACCAAAGATCTGTCTAGCTCTGTCATCTCCTCCTGGATGGTTAGAGAATAATGTAGGTGTAGAGCAGATGAAGGTGACAATTTGCAGTGTGGTGTTCTTGCTTCTAGCAGACTGGCTTGGACTTCTGAACTGGAGATTGTCTCTAGATTATTTTCCTTTTAATTGCCTCTTAGGTTCCTCCCATCTCCCCAAACATACATAAGGGTTTCAACAAGCCGTCCGTCACCTATAGGTGACCAGACCCTTTTCAAATAAGTACTAGGTAGATTGCTTAAATAGTTGTGGTCATGCTATGTAATAAGTAACATCTATTAAAGTCTAGAGCCCCAAAATCTCCCTTTCCTACAGGTTTGAAAAGTACAAGTTTGTGGTCTCCACCCTATTGCTGAGAGGGAAGGAGAGGTTGTACTACCTCCATGGCTGTTGAGTTCCTCCCACACGTTCCTATATGTTGGAGGAACAGGTTTCACCAGGTCCTATAAGACACTGCAGTATGGCTTCTGAGTAAGATGCTGCTTTGGTGTTGTGTGAGACGAGAGCTTGTCTTGATCCTGGAAGCCTTGGAACATAAAGTTGGCCAGTTCATAGCTGGTAAATCATAGAAGGTCTCTAGAAGTAGGAATATGAGAGGAATAACATCTTGTGGTGTCTTGTTTGTTTGGAGCGGTGTTGACAGTGCAAGAAAGAGCTTGTCCAAAATAAGGGTGTGCTGGCTCTCCACCTGAGAGTTGCATGGTGCTTGATACTGCTTCATTGGCCAGTTCTGGATTCCAAGGAAGAAAGGAAGGATAAGCCCGAGTGAAACGGGGGACTTCTAAATATCTTCCCTCAGCTGTGTTTCAAGTCTGGCTCCTAAGCTAAAGAAAACTGGTGAATGGCAGTTGGGATTTTCAGCTTCACTGCCCATTTCTGGGATAAGAAAATAAAAAAAGAGAAGGGATGGATGGCCAATTCTGAAAATAGAGTTGGACTTTATGCTACTGGGTTAGTGTAAACTGAAGTGGAGATGGAGATATACCTTGAGTGTTTAGGGAGCAGAATAGGTCTGGGTGTGACTTCATGTGCAAAATAAAGGTATTTTTGTAATGTTCTTGTATTTCCCTGTGTTTTAGAGTAACTTGAACTTTTTATTTCCAGCCACCAAAGTTCTTGGCACAGTCAAGTGGTTCAATGTCAGAAATGGATATGGCTTTATCAACAGGTATGTTTAAATTATGATAGTCATGTTTATACTGTACTGAGACTAATGGTACAGATAATATGCCCTGGGTTGGTAATTGCAGCAGAGACCTGAGGACCTGACTACAAGTTCATGGCATTGATAGCCAGATTTGGCCAGGCATTCAGTAGACTTGGATATAATTTCAGGGCTCTACCCACCCTCTTCCCACTCCTCCGTGGAAGGCTGTGTGTATGGGGAGAAAACAGAAAGGGTCAAACTCATTACCATTTGAGTCTGTTACTTGTTTCTCTTGTTAGTCACACTATACCTTTAATGAGCTGTATGTGCTTTCACTGACTGCTTGGCTTTTTTTAAAGGTGCAAGTAAGGTTGGAGGATGTTGAGAAATATCTTTGGATAAAAAGTCAAGTGTTAACCGATTGGTCAAAATACATATTCTAAATAAACATTAGGGTTCTCTGATACCATTTAACTGAAGATACTTCAGGCTTGAGTCCACAGAAATTTTTTCTCTGCGTCTTTCTTCTCTGAACACAAACAAACCTCTGAATGGCATCAGTAAGCCAAATAGCTATATGTGATTTTGATCACACTCCAACCTTAGGTGCACAAGACCCACTCTTCCAAATTACTACAGGAAACTGGCTTTTAATACTGGCATAGCTGTGGGGTTGAGGGGCTTAAAGGTCTTGGGTGCTTTATGAAAAACAAACCTCCTGTGTGGAGAATGCTTGTCTTGCAAAAGACATACCTGGCAAGTTACTTTGTCCTGCAAGTCCTTGAACTGTTACACAGCAGGTAGATTTGGGTAAGTTGGACAGTGTAGAAGGGGACCAAAGAGCCCCATTTCATGGATCTGAAGCCAGTTCTGCTACAGTATTAATATCAGTCTCTGGAGACTACTATCCAATGTTACGTAAGCTTAGAAGAAAAGCTTGAATTAGGAAGCACTCAAAGCTGTTCATAGCAGTTGATGTGAGAGTCTTCAGCTGGATATGGTGCAATAACTTGTTGGATTTCTTGCTAAACTGAAGTCTGCTATTACTTCAGTCCAGTACAACAAGTTTTGGGTTACTTATTATTTTCACAAACTCTTTGACCCAGCTGTTCCCCCTGCAGAGAAAGAATTGAGTGAACAGACAGCAGGGTCTAGGCTCTTTCTGGTGTGTGGGAACACGGAATCAAGGTCTCAGACCTGTGGTCATGTTCTGCATGTGGAAGCCTGAACTGGCTGCTCGATCCAGGCAACTTCAGGTTCATGTCTGGGCCCCTCTCTAATGGAGTCCCCTAACACCTCTTGTGCATGGTTGCTTTGAGTTTCACTGAAAGGAGAGCTCTACTAACAGCTGTGGCCAGTCCTGTTGATAGTCTTGCTTGACCTCTGGGATAACAGCTCAGGTTGCAGCCCCTGTGGAAGTGTTATTGGTGGGGGTGGGGGGAGTGGAATAGTGAAAGGCAAGCAGTCCAGTCATTAACTCTGCCCTATGTCAAAACAAAATACTGAATGTTTGCCAGGAGGCTACAGAGAACCCTTCTGAAGGGTGAGGAGGTCCTTCTGCTGTGAAGCATATGACCCTGGAAATTCAGAGCAAGGTCTTGGTAGCATAGATTTAGACAGAATGTATGGAATCCAGGGGATGTACTACAGGCTGGGGGAAAGAGGGTTTCACTTGTGAAGTCAGGGATTTCTATTTAAGGCTCTTAGTCTAAACTCTTATGGCTTCTCTCTTTCTTTTCACAGAAATGATACCAAAGAAGATGTCTTTGTTCATCAGGTAAGACAGCAGTAATTGTACTTAGAGATGTGCATGGTGATAGGTTTCTAGTGCAGCTTCCTGAAACAGCCACCCTACCTTGTCCTGGCTTTTCCTGAGAGTATTTACCACAAATACCTTCAATGGACATTATGTTGACGTTTTCAGGGAGAAATATTAGGGTGTGTTTTCCTTCTCTCTGGGGTTATAACTGAAGGAGTAGGTATTATAACCCTTCATGCTTTCTTTTGTCTGCTCTGATTTGAACACTAAAGGTTTTCGGGGGGGGGGGGGGGGCGGGTGGGTGTTGGTGTTTTTTTGTTGTTTGGTTGTCCCTCCCCTGGGGACATGACTCATGATTTATTAAATACCTTGCTACTTGTCTGCCCTTCCCCTCCATTTCTTCATGCTCCTGGTGTCTTGTGTTTCTTCCTACCCTCTTCGTTTGCAGATCTGTTGTCTGCCCTCCCTGGTATTGGGAGAGAAAGTGATTTAGTCTGGCTCTTGACCAGCCTGGGTTGCCATCAGCTGTTGCTGTGTGAGGCAGCTGCTCTTAGGAAGAAGAGGAAGGCTGTGTGCCAAGTGTACCCAGGCAGAGAGAGGTTGCCCAGCAGCTTGGCATTAGCTAACTTTCCTTGAACTGTCAGTAGGCTGTTCTAAGTTTATACTGTGACTCTCAGGTCGCAGGCAACTAATGGGAAGACAGAGGATGCTGTTTCCATGAAAAGTAAACTGATTAGTTGTCTTCAATCTAGTTTTGCATCATCTGAGACTTTTACTTCACCAGAAAGTGAAATACTGCTTCTGGAGCTTGTCCTGTATGAAATGTCTGCAGGCCCATGTGATACTTAAAAGCATGAACTTTCTGTGGGGTAAGCAGCAGTATTTTCATCAATCGTAACCAGGAGACTTGCACTCAGAGTTGGTAACAAAGAATGAGGGTATGTGCACATGTAGTTGTGTTAAATGTGCTGGTCAATGTTAAGAGTGAGTTCAGTTGTGTGGCTTTGTCATGACATAGCCTGCGATAATGGTTTCTCAGGGTCAAGGGGTGTAGACTCACTATCTGAAAATGGATGAAGCTGTAAGTGAATAAATCTAGTGCCTGTAATGAGTGAAGATGATGTTGGGAAGCGTGTGCAGTATGGGCTCCTGGTGGAGTTGGGAGCAAGAGCTTTCGCCGCGTGTACTGGTTTCTAATGGTCAGTCTCCTTCCCTAGTGAGAGTGTTGCTGTGTGTGTGCTGATACAGACGCTGCATCTGCGGCCTGATGAGAGTGTGTCCAGAGGAGGGTGGGGAGAGTTCCAGTAACAGAAACATGTTCCGGATAGGCAGCACTGTAAAACTACCTTGGAGACAAATGAGGTCTTGAGACCTGTGAGAAAAGATACTGGAAAATGGTGATTGTGCTGATGACAAATAACATGGATCAGTGTTACTCTGCTTGGGAAAGCTGCCTGCAGAGACCCAAACAGTGAAGGCCAACAGCAAGGTCGCTGATGCTGTCTGTGCTGTTTTGTCTCCTTCACCTGTGGAGGAGATTACATCTAGGTGAATAAAGTGGGGTGGGGCAAAAGAAACAAATTTATTTCCTATCTCTTGTGGCCGAAATCCTCTTGGAGCGAGCGTGGAGCAAAACTGGCTTGATGTTTCAGAAATACCACATCACATGCAAGCCTGCATCTGATTAACCGCCTTGGTGGGCTGTGCGTGGCAGAGTAGATGCTTCCAGTTTTGGCCTGGCTTGGCTGCAATCAGATGTTCCTCAGTTCTTCCGTCTTGAGCTGTTCCTGTATGTGAATGTGCTCCCTACCAGAGCCTGGAGCTTTCTGGCCAGAGCTTCTGCTGGGGGCCGCCCAGTAAGGGAGGCAAATCTCTGGCGTAAGCAAACATCCTGCTATGAGCTCCCTCTCCACCGTTAGTGCCAGTTCTGCCCCTCCTCCTCGCGCCCATCTCGGGAGGGGCTGGATTACATGCCTAATCCCTTCAGAATAAGGCTGACCTAGTTGAATAGATACAGCCTCCTCCCTGCCTCCCCTGCACCATCCTCAGTGGGGAGGGAACGGGCTGGTCTCGTGATTGGAATGGGGGTTAAAGCTCGGTGTCTAGCTATTGGATGCTATTTATAAACCTAGTACAGATTAAAATGCTTTTCTCTTTAGGGCATGCATGGCTTGCTTTGAATTAACCCTTTGTTTTGCCAGGGACCCAAGCGGTGTTTTGGAGAAGGGCAGTTCTTCACCTGCTTTGTCTCGCTTGCATCCTTGACTAGTTTGTTTGTGCAAGGTGCTGTCTAGGGTACCTCTGTCAGTTAGAGGTGGTCTGAGCAATAGAGGTTGGTCTGCCTTGTGGGGTGAAGTGTGTCTGAGGTGGGGAGGAGGGTGTTGCAGCTTAACACAATTAAAAGGGTCAGTAGGCAGAGAAGCCCAACTTAATTGGGCATAGTTTGAATCAACAAGGGGTGAGGAGGAGCTAATATCTTCTGTTGCACAGGTCTGTCTTTTTCTTTACTTCACTGGATTTTATGCATCATGGACAGTCTGGTGTATGTGCACCAGTAACTGCTGTAACAAACTTTGGCTATCGCTGTGACAATGCTGGATGTGTACATGATGTGGTGATATGAGGATAATGGAAAGAACTCTTCCAAGCAAAATACTGAACTAGCTCTGAAGACTGTTAAAGCTGTCTGTTCATCAGTGTCCCCTTGGGAAAGGAAAGGCTTTGCCTTAATTGTTAGTGCTGTCTATGTTAGCACAAAACATTTGCATTTTGAGTTGAAGAAGCTGGAGTTTGCAGGATGCTGGTGAACAGTGACAGGCAGAGTAGTGCTCTCTCTTCCCCTCTGGATATACAGAGTAAAAGTCTTTTCATCACGCTTAGAGTTTAGGCTTCTTAGAGGCTTATTTCACCAATGTTTACCTGCAGCTGAAGTAGTAGGTAGTAAAGCTGTGTAGTTTCTGCTCTGAACTCTAGGATTTACTCAAAATTGTTCCTAGTTGCCTGGTTATAAACAAACCCCAGGCTACTGTGTGGCAGCCTCTATTTCCTGTTGGCAGGTTATTTAGGTGCAAAGCTGAATTTTTGAAGTCTCTGTCCATAACGCTGGAACAGAACATGTGGAATCCTGTTGAATTTATCTTCTGTTACCCTTCTTGGAGGAGCTTCATTGTTCTTAAGTACACCCTCTGGTGAAAAGAAACCCAGTAGTTCTTTCTTCCTCTGCATTTACAAGGAAGGGGAAGGAGTTTGAAAACAGGTTGTTGACATCGCTGTCATATGCAGAGCACGTCTTGCAAGTTTCAGTCAGTTGTCTCAGTACAAGTGGTAGTGAAAGAACTAAACCCTTAATCTGCAGTGAAGGTAATTATTTTAGTAGTGGTATATAGCATTCATGGAAAATCTAGGACTTCCAGCTGATTTTAGAAACGGAGCAGTTACTCTTAACAGGTGAGCAGAAAGTGAACAAAGCTTTTGTCTCAACTGATGGGAGTCTCTGCTGGCTAAAGTAATTTCCAAAAGGATTCCTTTGAGCAGCTCATCTTCCTATATCAGAAGAAACCCTCTTGGGTTATTTTTGCTTTGGTAGCAATAATATGTACACTCTTGCATTTTTCCTTAAGCCATTCAGGGATACTGCAGGGTACAGGGAAAGTTGTGGCTAGATGTAGGGCTAAAAGGACATGCTGGCCTCTTGCCTGAAACACAAAGGGGACTGTGTTCAGCAGCAGTGAGAATTCTTTTCCTAAACTGGTCAAGCTCAACTTCAAACTGATTAGCCCAAAAATATTCCCACTGAAGAAAAGGTCTGCTGTTGACTGAATGAATATAGTTGCTACGCACAGGCAACAACTCAACTGATCTTCATTCTGCCTGTTTTTCTTCAACTGTGGACAGATATGACAACTGTCTCTTCTGCTTCTGCCCTGCATACCACTTCTTAAGCCAGATTTGTGCCCTGTTTTTCCATGTGTCCTTCTGTCTACTGAATCTATACCTGTCTCCTTCATGCTGACAAAAAATGCCTGAATCAGGAAACTTAAAGTGAATTGGTCTTTATTAATCTAAGAACTTCAGTAAAAAGTTGGCTGCTAGACTACCTTGTACAATGTGTGTGTGTTGGGTTTGTTTTGTTTTTTTTCTCCCCTCGCCTCTTTCAGTTTGTGAATCCCTTTACCTAATGCACAGGTAGTAGGCTTGTCTTTCTAGGATTCCATAAAAAGCAGTTAGAAATACTCCACAGAGTGAAAGGTGTTGGTAGTTGACAGGTTAAATATCGCTCCAGGAGGTTTGAGCATTCTGTGGGTCTGAGGAGGTTTTCAACTGGTTTTGATCTGAAGCTGTGTTAGTAGCATTTTGGAGTTTCCATCTAGGAGATAACTAAGACTGCGATTGTCTGTTCTGGTACTATTCCTGTGTTCTTTAGGGGCTTGCCTAATTTTTGAGGGGTTCCCTTGCAGCACTTAGGTAAAATGCTTGTTTATGTTACACCAGAGTTATAATAAGTAATTCTTCTCCAGTTCCTATGAATTGCCACGATACCTTAATGTCATCTACAAAAATGCTACTGGTCTTAAGTTCTCTGTAGGTGGTCTACATATCTCCTAATGACTGTGAAAGCATGGGTCACACTTGTTGCTGGATCTTCCTTGATACAGCTTGCAGATCACATGCTCAGTGTGAACTCTGTTCATAAAGAAATATGTAATGATCGGGATATTTAGTAGGTTTGACAGAGGGGATCCTGGAGCAACAGCTGATTAGCTCATAAGTACTGAGAAAGGAGCAAACCTTGACTGAGTATTGGAGGGCCTGTGGAATATGGGAGACATCTATGTATTTGAAATATCTTGGTGTGGCAACTGATGTGGTGTGTAGAGTTGAGATTGCAGCAGAAGAATACTGTCCTTCTCTCATCTACAGGGCTATGAGTGTACAAGTATACGTAAGGTAAAATAATATATTTTTCTGTGTCTTTTTTTTAAAGACAGCAATAAAGAAAAACAACCCACGGAAATACCTGCGCAGTGTTGGTGATGGAGAGACTGTAGAATTTGATGTGGTCGAGGGAGAGAAGGTGAGAGATTATAGAGATTTAGGGGTGCTGTCCAACAGAGTTAACATCACTCAAGTGGGGAGTAACACAGAACCTTAGCTGTGTATCTGGTGGTTTTGCCTAATGTGTTAATCCCTGGTGTGGGTGGCATTCATGTAGCTTTTCTGTGGAAGATCTGTTTGTTTTTTTGTTTTGTTTTTTTTTCTTTTTAAAGGCTTCATTAAGAAGTATTTCTAGATATGTATCAAAACTCAAACTACATCTTAGTGCTTCTAGAATCTGTAATTTTTACTTGATGGAGCATCTGAAACTTGTAGCCTGCCCAATAATCATTAACTGAGGCATATACTGCCCTGAAGAATTTGTCTTGGAGTCTGATAGCTTAATAACTGTAAGAACTTTCAGGTTCTTTGCCCTTCTACTTTCTCAAACATTATTTTGAGTTTTCTGAGCTTTTTTGAATGATTCCTTTTTTTTTTTTGTCTTTAATCAGTTACTTTGTACATTTTCCTCTGAGCTAATCCTGGTTGATAGGGTCTTACTATGATAACTTTTGGTTATGGGGTTGACAGTAAAAACACCTGGTTTTGCAGTGTGTGGGAGGAAGGAGTTATCTGTATCTTGGAACTGATGCAAAAAAGCCTCTTTGGTGTTTCGTCTTCCCCCTGTAGCTGGTTATTCTTTTCTCACACCACCCTGGTTTGCTTCCTTTTGGCCTTTTAGGGTGCAGAAGCAGCTAATGTCACTGGTCCAGATGGAGTCCCAGTAGAAGGCAGCCGCTATGCTGCAGACCGGCGCCGCTATCGACGTGGTTATTTTGGCCGACGCCGTGGACCACCTCGAAGTGTAAGTTTAATTTCTTTAATGATGGTCATCGTTCCTCTTCAGCAGTCTTCTGATCCTCTCGTGAAGGGGAACTACAAGTTCAGCACTGGCACATAGTAAGCTGTCAATGCTTAACTAAGTTGTGAGTGTTCTTCAGTAATCTGGGTTCCTCCAGCACATTGTTGATGATGATACCAATTTATTTTTATTAATTGGTGTCCTGTAGGCCCTCTGTAACTCGGAAGGGTTACTTGGAAAATGAGATTTGTTTAGAAGTTAGTCACTTTTGCATAGCATGGTAGTAGTTTGACCAGCTGGTTGAAACTTCCATGTATCATCCCGTCATAGGCCTCTACTTACAGCACTTCATTGTAAAGTTAATGCGTTCTTTTCTTTAAACTAGCTATGCACTGCTGTTCATAACATCTTCTTCCCTGCATGTTTTTGCAGAGGGAGAAGTAAGTATGAGGTACCTGACTGTAGTTCTATCAGTTACTACTCCCATCCACATTGTGCTTGAGCTAAATCGGTGTCTGAAACAATCCAACAAATTGGAACATCCTCCAGGCTTGATTAACTTTTCTTTAATAGTTGAGTCTGTGACCATCACTTGCAGAAATGTGTGAGCGATCCAGGAGGAGAGCCCTGGTGGAAGGCTCTGCCCAAACAACATAACCCTTCTCATTTGCTCTACAGAGTTGACAGCATGGGGGCAAACAGAACAAGCATTGTCAAATCCCTCCTTAAAGCCTAGCTGTTTATATTAGCTGTCATGAGGTGTTTTCTTTAATCCTGCTGTATGCCACTGAGCCTTAAATACATGAATGGTGTTCTTTCCGAGTCCCTTGAAGACAGCTAGAAGTTGGTGCTGGTAACTGATGGCTTATTACTGAGTACGTTTTTGTGGTGATATTGTTTGCAGCTTCAGCTTTCATGCCAAGTGGCAGAGAACGGGGATACTTGGTTTTGTTCAGCTTTTTGATGTTTCCAGTCTTATCTGTTAGCTCATCAACCACCTACATTCCAGTATTGATTCAGTTTCCTTTTGCTCTTCTGAGATTAAAATCCCCCTCAACTGTCTTTATTGGGAGTGAATGCTTTAGTTTGTGGTATTGGTCTTGTCTTGGAGCTGCTTCAGATTTTAAATGAGCAGACATATCAAGGCTTAGACAACCCTCTGTACTGCTGAGTACAGAAAGCAGCTGTTTCTTTCTGCCTGAAGAGTGATAATGTGAGACCCAACTGCGGTGTGGGGTACATTCAAGTCTCAGAGTACTCATGCTGGGACATTTTCTCTTGATGTCTAATGCAGACTCATGCAGCTAAAAATCTGGCTTGCATGTGACCCTAACACACTTGGATCCTAGTACTTGAAGATGTACACAAGGGGAATAAATCACACTGTTTTCCTCTGGCTTGCTTATACCTGAGTCCCCAGACTGATTTGATGTAGGTACCAGACCTTAGCTGTTGTGTGACTAGTGCCTGATGTCCTCTGAAGTCATCTCTCATTTCATAACCTAAAACATCCTGCACTTTCTCTGGGATCATTGACCCGGGAAGAATTACAGCCTTCAAAACTTGCAAGTGATGATTTACAACGGGACACTAACCTGCGTGTTCGCTGTTTTCCATGTTTCATTAGGTTGTTTGGTCCTTTAGCTTGTTGAGTATCCTTTGAATGTCAGGCCTGCCCATCAATGCATTGGCTTCTCTGGATTTGGTATCATCTGTTAAAATTAAGAGTAAAGTCTGTTTCATTCAAGGATGATGAAGATGTTGTAGTATTAGTCCCTTAGCATGCTACTCTGACAGATAAAAAGGTAAGTTCCGTGACTGCTGTGACCTTTCAAAGATGATACTGGCTAGGCAGTGATATTGGCCAGCACCTTCAGCACTCTCAGATGTATCCTGTGTAGTTTCATAGACTTGTATGTGTGGGACTTGTCTAAGTGATACTTCTTTTTCATGTTTGAGCTCAGTCAGGAGTTCCTTGTCCAGCGAAAGTTGACATTCTACTATGCCCGCTCAACTTCCTGCATATTGCACTGGACCTTTCTTGTGTTCTGAGCTGCCTTGATGTGTGATCAATTCTGCTGGGCCTTCTTACCCACTCACTTATTAGTTGCCTGAACAAGTCAAAGCTGCACTTTAAGGAAATCTTTGCAGGGGCTGCAAAGGGTTGTGTGAGGACTGTCCCTGAAGTTGTCCTAGTGTAGGTGAGTGAAACCACTCAAACTTGTTCAAATGTTGTCATGCCATGCGTGTGTCCTTTTATGGATCGATTAAGACTAGAATTAAATCCTCATTTGAAGCTATCAGTATTTCCTTTTGTAGGTTTTTCACTGGCATCAGTTAACACATTCTTCGCATTGGAACTGCCTGTCTACTGCATCTAGAAAGATGCTTCTTCCTAATATCCTTTTCCTCCTTCCCCTCCCATTCCCATGTGTGTAAAGGGGGAAGAAAAATTGCAAGGTGTAGGAGCCATAGCAATATGCATACACTATTCTGTATGGTCCCATTAACAGGTTGTGCCACTCTACTTGAGGAAGTGTTTTTGGTTAACTGTCCTGCAGGATATTTCTGAGACTAGTTTGAGGTGCTGATGGTATGGCACTTGGGCTGTGTTTGTTGAAAGGATATTTACTCAGCTGCAGGCAACTCTTGCTGCACACCTGAAAGGAAAAGTCTTGCTGTACCCAGGCCGGCTGTGCTTAAAGATGTACTAGGCTGCAGAGGTTAAAGATTATCCCAGAGCTCAGCAGAACATGTCATCAATCTGTACTTAGTGAAAAAAAATTGTTTAATTTGTTGAGATGACTTCTGATGTGGTGGCCTTCTAGGTTTCAAGAACTTCTAATTGATGTGTGTTAGCAACTCCAGTCCAATCTTGCTGTGCAGCAAGAGTTAATTTATCCTTGCTTACTGGCATGGTTTTAGGCAAACTAAAGCTTACCCTTTGTTTGCCAGTCTAGCTCAAATGTGCCTGTATTCTGTATGTAACTTGGGTCTGGTTTTGAACACATTGTGTGAATTTCTCATGTGAAGGGAACCTTGAGGAATCTGAGGTATTTAGCCAACTCCAGTGGAACTGTATCTGGATTGCATGAAGAGTTCTGTGGAAAGTAGATGTAGTTGTTCCTATCAGAAATTTCTTAATTGTATCTGCCAGAGAAAAGCATCTGTGCTGTTAACTAAACTGTGACAACACAGACATGGCATGGAGCTGTAGTCAGGATGCTAGAACAGACAATGAATCATGGAATAACCTTGAGCACTGATGATGTCCTCATGTGCATATAGTGTGCATTACTAATAGAAGAAGCCTCTGTACAAGTGAGTTGGAAAATAAGCGAAATACTTTAAAAGTTGTTCTGTAAGATAGCACTATTTCTTGTAGAGAGGAGACCTGAAAAAGTGAATAGTTTAAAAAAAAAAAAAAAAGGCAAGCTAGAGACTGATCTGAAGAGGTGTAAGAAGAAATTAAGGGAAGCAGATGGATAAAAAACTCATTGCAGTTACAGTTAATGCTTACAAAACTTTTCTTTGGGGGACAGCAATAAAACTTTGTACTTTTTACGGTTAGAGAAATCTGTGATGTCTTCATGGGGAGTCACAGCCTGCCTGCCTATTTTGGCCCTCTTCAGAGGAACATGTAGAATACAGCAGGCCAGCTTTATTAATTTGTCCTTTAGGGTGACCTAATGTTTTGGTAGAAGGTATTATACTGAGTTGGAAGGTTCCTGTGGAGGAGATTGAGAGAACATGATATTGTGTGTGCTAGACATGGCACGGTGCTTTCAAGAGTAGAAATAAAACTTTCCTAATAAATTAATACACTTACTATTGGTATAGTAAAACAAGACCTCAAAGCTCAGGTTCTGTCTTCTGGTTAAATTGCATCTGTTTCAGTGACTTCTGACGGCGTAACTGTTTTATTCTGGAGCTATACTTCACTTCTGGCCAGTAGACCTAGGCCAATTGACAATGATACTAATGTAATGTGTTAATTGAATTTTTGTGATACTACAGAAGATGCGGGGACTAAGCAATTTAGTTGCTTTGCTGCTCTGTTTTCAACTGATTGTTTAAGCCAAACCTTTTTAAAATACTGACAAAGCAACATTCAGTTCAAGATGAATAGGAAAATGGTTGAGTTGTTTTTTAGTAGTGCTTCGTAAGGTTTAGTCATTCTTCCCGTCACTACAGAAGATGGAGTCTTTTATCTGAGATTCCAGTGTGGCCCTCTGTAGAGAGGAGTGGACTTGGGCTGTGCTATTAAAAACATTTAGAATTTCAATACTGCCTCTTAAAGAGCTGTGAACGTGATGCTGGTTGTCAAGTGCTATAGGAGAGCTTTGGCTGATGAAAAATACTGTGTGCCCCTCCCTACTGTTAGGTTGGTTGATCCTTTGTTAGCTTCTGACACATTTGTCTCTCTGACGAGACCTACTAGGCCTCAGTGGTTCCGTATTTCTGGCACTGCACTGCTAGAACTGAGCACTGATTCTGTGTGTGCTTGCTCAAGTCCTAGGGGAGAGAAATGGCAGAAACGTGGTACGCGTTCAGGATTGGTTTAGTTCTGTGTCCTCTTGTCCATTCTCATCTTGCTGCTCTCATATGTTTCTGTGCTTTGCCAGTCCTCACATGAGGAAGCGAGTGAGGGCAGGAGCAGCGTTATGTCCTTGCTTCTCAAAAGGCAAATCCCAAGACCTCTGAATCGCTATTTCCACACACAATACTGGCGGTGCTATTTCTCACCTTACTGACCGAGACACTTCTGGCCACCTGTCACAGGTCTAAAACTGTAAAGTTATGTAGTACAAAGCATCTTGATATGAACAGGACAGACTGGTACTGCAAAGTAGATTAGTAAAATGTTGTTGTAAAGTAGGAATTGTCATTTTCATTTTGATTTCTGAGTCTCTTGAGTACTTCTCATACACTATCAGATGCTACCTATTATTACTGTCCATTTAGTCACTGGAAGTTCCTTTTGATACTTAGTTTCATATCAGTTTTATACATGAGACAACATAATGGATAATGTTATTTATCATGGTGGCTTTGTAACTGAATTCTGATTTCTCTCTACTCATCTCAGCAGCTGACACTGTCATATTGTTAAGAATAGATGGTATAGCTATTTCTAGGTACAGCATGCAAAATATTCCAGTTGCCTTGAGGCTGTGTCTCTGCTTTTTGAAAACTTCAAAAGCTACAAAGAATGCTTTTTATTTCCCCAAGTTTTCTAGTTACAAACTACAGCACTCCAGCCTTTTAAAATGCTAATCATCACGTTATATTAGCTAAGGGAAAGTTCGCTGCCCATGTAGTTACCTGAGATTGCCAGTTAAAATATGATGGTTGTGGTCAAAATAGTTGTGTGGAATTGGAAGGAGACCTATCAAACTTCGTATAGACTACTCAAGGCTGTCAGGAAGCAATAACTTTTGTTTCTTGCTGGATCAAATCCAGAAGATCTGGAAACAGAAGTTCATCTCTTATTAAATCCTTTATTTTAAAGGGAAGAAAAATAGTGTAATGGGAATAGTTAATAATGTAACTTTTTATAAAACAAACATTGATGGCTGGCATTTAAAAAACCAAAACAAATAAGCAACAAACTAGAAAAAACAAACTGAAATACAGCTTTATCAGTTAACAACTAAAGGGGAAAGATAACCACTGCATCTCTGAAAGGCTGAAAATGTTGAGTGTGTAGAAGAGTATTTGACATGTAGTACGGTTTTTCTATCTTTAAATTTCTTGATGTTTTGGTGAGAGTTCTCTGTGGAATGGGGTTTGTGTAGAAAGAAAAGAAGCCAGAAGTGGTCTCTGGCAAGCTTGTGTGATGTCTTTCAGTTAGCTTTCCAAATTCAGAAGTGTCCTGATCAATAGCTGCCTCTCTATAACACGTTTAACCCTTAAAATGCATTGTCATGTCTTGAAAAGCACTTACATGTGCATTGGAGAGAACTGTCAGGTTCTCTGCCTTTCTTGGAAGACAGGGAGGAGGCATCATCAAGTAGCTGCTTAGTCTGTTACTGTGAGGAACAGGGGCAGTGTTATTTGCTCTTGTTCGGTCCTACTCTTATCTTTGCCCACGTTAAACTCTTGTGTATCTGCTTCTTGTTAGCCTATGTGCTGGTGGTTTTGTACTGATACACTGTTTTTGAACTTGTGTTCAGATCATTGGGCTTGATAGTTAATACACTGCCTGTGAAATAAGGTAACACTTCATCTGTTTTCTTTTGGTTGTAGGGTGGCGAGGGAGAAATCAAGGATGGGGTGACAGAAGGAGGTCAACTTCATCAACAAGTCAATAGGAATCCTACATATCGTCCCCGCTATCGCAGGTTTGTACTGCTTCCTTCGCTTATCGTTAAATTCAGGTGCTTTTGTGATCTATACAGGCTTCATTAAGAGTAGGAAGCTGTACTCCCTGGCATTAATGTGTTTGCAAATGGTAGGGACCATGAGAGGCGTTTTAATTACAAGGAGAAAGGTGAGCTATAGGAATAAGGAAGTAACTGTAAAATTTGTTTAATATGTTTATGTATTACTCAGGAATAGCTCAAGGAGTGAAGAATTCTTTGTATCCTGTTACTTCTCACAATTGAGTAACATACTGAAGTGAGTTGTAGCATCTGTGTCTCCCCAGCTGAACTCTTATGCTTTTCTGGACAAGTAAAGAATCAAAATCCCACTTGATTGGGACAGCTAGGCCCACCATCTGCCAGGGCAGGGTGTGCTTTACAACTTTTCTTGTGGACTCCAGATAGTAGTTTGCAGTTCAGCACTGGACTGGTAGCTTGTGCACATCCAGCTTAGTCCTGCATGTCACGTAGGCTTGGTTTTATGCACTAGTGCTACCCGTGGGTACTGAGCAGTAGGTTTTCCTCTGTAAAAGCAGATGCTGTGTCCTCTCTCTTCCAGGCCGTTAGATTGTATGGTAGCAATATAGTTGCCTTGTAGTATCCTGTGCTAGTGGAGGGTATTGCTGTCAGCCAAGGTGGAAATTCTAGGTTCCTTGTGGGCTCCTAAAGGAAAGGGTTACAAAATAGGATTATTAGTTACTCTTGCTAGAACTTTTGGAGAAGGGAGTTGCTAGAGAGACTGGAGAGCTTCCAGAGTAAGATAAAAATCATCCAAATGATTGAAGGGGGAAAAAAAAATAATCTGTGAAGAGTGGAAGTGACTGATGGCTCTGAGACTGGGAGAAGAGACAAATGAAGAGAGATTATAGACGTCTGCAGAATGCATAGCATGAAAAGGATGGATTAAATTTTTTCTTTCTTCTGTTAAAAGAATACACTGAGGAGGCTTCAAATAAAGGAAGTGGGAGACATGGTGAAAAGCAAAGGGAGGTTCATAGAACCATAGGACAGCCGAGGTTGGAAGGGACCTCAAAAAAAAAAAAAATCATCTAGCTGAACCTCTTGTGGGAAAGGGAGCCTAGATGAGACTATCTAGCACCCTGTCCAATCGCATCCTGAAGCCCTCAGTGATGGTGACTGCCACATTCCTGGAGAGGCTGTTCCAGCAAGTGATTGTTGTCACTGTAAATCTTTTATCAAGACAAAACCTCTCATAGTGCAACTTGTACCTGTTGTCCATTGTGTTCTCAGTGTGGCTCCTTGTGAAGAGAAGGCCTCTGTCCTCTTTGTAGATGCCCTTTAAGTACTGGAATACTGTGATGAATTCCCCCCTAAGCCTTCTCTTCTCCAGAGAGAAAAGACCCGACTCCCTCAGTCTTCTCTCACAGAGCAGTTCCTCCAGCCCTTTGATCACCTGGGCCCTTCTTTAGGCCATAGCTAGTCTGTCTGTTCCTTTTTGAATTGTGGGGACCAGAACTGGACACAGTACTCCAGGTGTGGCCTGATAAGCGCCGGGTAGAGTGGGATGTTCACCTTTCTGTCTGCTGCTAATGCCTCTGTGGATGCAGCCCAGCGTCTGTTTTGCCTCTGCTGTGCTGGTGCACTGCTGACTCGCGTTCAGCTTGCTGACTCGGGTTGTTACGCATACAGCAGGTCGCTGGAGCTTTTTGCCACGGGATGTTGGCAATGTTAAAAGCTTGCACGAGCACGGAGGAGACTGGTCTAATGACTAGAAGAGAACACCATTGTGTTATCTCTAAATAGGCAAGCTCTGTCTGGATCTGGAAATACCGGTGTGGAAACCAATTGGAAACTGGGAGGCTATTTGGGAAGTAGGCTTCCTTGTCCTTATTTTTCCCTAGGGATCCATAAAACTGGGAAAAATGGACACTTGAAGACCTAGTGGGCCATTCTTAGTAAAGATCCCATGGAGTTAACATAAACATTGATGCTTTCCAGGGAGATACGTGGAGTAATTTGCTGCGTTACCTGTGTTAGTCATACCTTAAATTGGCCAGTGCAGGATTGTTTTCTTAATTTTCCAGCCTTAGTTCTGACATGACCACTACAGCTTCCAGCCTCTACACTGAGGGAACAATTCCATAGCTGAGGAATTTAGTGCAGTTAAAAATATCAGTGTGAAATAGTCAGCCTCTGGCTGTCATATCTTTTGAGATGTTGCATCACTTTTTTTTTTTTAATTGAATTCCTTTGAGTGGAAAAGCTTATTCAGATACCTGGCTTCTTGTGACTTGTTTTATCTTGGAGAATGAGTGACAAATTAAATAAACACTAGATTACTTTCACTGGTGTTCTGTATAAATCATTGTGATGTGGTGTTCCCTCCCCAACATTCTTCTCTCTAAATTGGAGAGAGACGGATTTGATGGGTGGACTGTTTGGTGGATGAGGAATTGCTTGGATGGTCACATCCAGAGGGTAGTGGTCAACGATTCAATGTCCAGATGAAGATTAGTGATGAGTGGTGTCCCTCGGGGGTTCGTACTGGGACCAGTAGTATGTGATATCTTCATCAATGACATAAACAGTGGGATTGAGTGCACCCTCGGCAAGTTTGCAGACTGAGTGGTGCAGCTGACAGCCTTAGGGACAGGATGCTGTAACTATTCTATGATTCTATGGTTCTGCTTTCAAGGAGCTGATTAGTATTAGTGTGCCACTTCCTCCTCTTCATCTTGTCCTTGTCTTCCTATCAACTATTTTAAGAAGTCAAGTTCCAACACTGCGTTGAAAGATGAACTGTGAAATGGATGTAATCCCCATTATTTCATATGCATGCTTGTTAAAAACAAACAGCAAGAGGTAAATAATGGTGCAAGAGCAACAAGAATCTGAACTTCATAGGAATAACAATCTTGTCCTTAATTATAATGACTACCTGTTCCATGCAAAATGGATTCATCTTGCTGGATGCTACATCTAGAACCACAAGCCCTCTACCTTTACTCTGAGCTTTTCTATCTGTGAATGTTTGTGTTAAGGTTGGCTCTCTTATCTAGGATTGTGGGAAATGGAGTAATATTGATGCTGCTGCTTGTAGGGATCTGAGCTGAATAAATTTTATTCCTCAAAGTATTCATTAGCATTGTGCAGTGAGGAACAGCACCACACCAAGTACAATGAGGCACCTGAGCTTTTGTGTGTGGTGGGTGAATCACAAGCTGGATAATTTGCCCATGGCTAATGGGATTTTATGCATTTCCGATGCATTTTTCCCTGTAGGAGGTATGATATATTCTATAGGAGTGTGGAATGCTTCTGTTTGAGTTAACAGGTAGGTATTGCTTGCACTTACATGGACTAGATCTGGTGATACTAGTGCCTTTGTTAGATTCCTTTGGAAAACCTAATTTGACTTTTGGGATTAGATAGCTGTGGATTAGCTAAAACAGCTAACAGGAACTAGGTAGTAGGCAGTGACTTTGTAATCACTTTCAGCTGTGTGGTGACAGTTTATAAGCATACCTTGTACTGGAAATGGAATGAAATGCTCTGGCATACTTCAGGAACAGGGACTTGGTAGCTTAGTGTTAATGAGGTCCAGCTGGCCTGACCAAGATACATGCTATGATTTCTTACATGGTGTCCTGGGTTTGAGTGGTAGGGGGTTGGGTAGCAGGGGAGGGGGCTACAGCAGCGACCCCCTGTGAGAAGCTTCTCTAAGCTCCCCTGACTCCAAGTTGCACCTGCCTCTGCACCAAGACCAATCAGCTGCCCCTCTGGTCAGGAGGAGGAACAGAAGGCAAAGAGCAAAGATTGGGGAATGGTTTAGAGGTGAAAGATTCCCAGGGTTGGCACCATTAATTGTGCATAGGGCCGGGCTGGTGTATAGCTATGCCAAGGTGAACTTAGCAGCATCAGCCTGTAAGGGCACTATTGGCTTGTTTCTTCTAGCCAGCAATTCACATGAGCTAGCTATGTCTTTGTGGTTGGGTAGACAGTAGAACGTGCTGATGTATCTTCAGGAGTGAAGATCCCAGGTTGCTTGTCTTTCCCTTCCAGCTACATGCCACCCAAAGGGACGATTTGCTGGCATTCAAAATTGTTAAAGATGGTACTTGGTTAGAGGTTCTTGCTGGGCTAAAAGTATGGTAGTTTAACCGTCTCAGGCTTCTCGTATTTAGTATATATTTCTCCCCCCCCGCCCCTTTAGAGGGCCCCCACGTCCACGCCCTGCCCCGGTGGCTGGAGAGACTGAAAACAAAGAGAACCACCATGATGCCAGCGCTATGAGCCAGCAGCCCCTTCGCCGTGGGTACAGGCGTCCATACAACTACAGGCGTCGACCTCGTCCGCCTAACGCTCCAGCTCAGGACGGGAAAGAGGTAAGCCCACTCCTGGCAGAACACGGCAGAGACTGACTTTCGATGGGGTGAATGTTGAAGGCCTGTTCTGTGGGAGCATTAATGGGTGTGGTGGTGGTGTGCTGGAGGAGCCTGATGGCCAAGTCCAGAGTGCTGGTGGCTGAAGGTGGCTGGTTTCGTTGCCTGTTCCTTGTGACCTTCTCTGAGAAGGAGCTGCTTATCTTCAGCGGAACCAGCTGTGGGATAGGGATTGCTTCTGGTTAGTTTTTAATTGGGGTCAGACTGTAACAAATATTTCTGAAGTGGAGAGAAACAGTTGTGTATTCCAGCTTCCTCAGACCTTCAGTCTGTATGTAGTAGAAGAGATGGATTTGAAAGCTCCAGATCCATCTCCTGAACTGCTCAAACCAGATGATTTCAGGGAACTGTTTGCAAACACAGATTTTACCTTCATGAGGAAAGACTTTCTCTTTCTACATCTACTTGAGGTGGTCCCCTGACAGAATCTGTTGTGTAATTTCCTATAGTTGATATTTTTTTCTGAGGATTTGTCTTCCTTGATTATTTTCAAACCTGGGTTATGCTGTTCCTATCACAGAACAGAGGAAGGGTCTGGAGGTCAGTCTTTGCCTATAATAAAGGTTTATTGTGTCTCAGACAAAGGTGACTGAAACACCTGCTGAAAATCCTGCTCCAGTGACAGAGCAGAGTGGTGCTGAGTAATGTCCAGCTCCCCAGGCACCTTTACCACCGCTCAGGTAAGGAATACAGATAGTTCCTGTTCTCCAACTAAAGCACCATTGTGTATGCTTCTAGGGCTTGGACTCTGGGCACATCTCCTTAGGTATGGCTAGGTATTTGTCATAACTTCTGAGGGTGCTGTATAGGCAAACCCAGAACAGTCAGCTGCATTTCTCTCATTTCCCTCCTCTGCCCTTGTGTCTGTATTTGTCACAAAGTAAACTTTGCTTTATAATTCTGATTTTTTTCAGGAAGATCTGTCTGGTCTATATAGCAGTAGCATCTGCTGATGCAGATAATGCTTTCCTTTAGGAAGATACTGTGCTCTCAGCTTATGGAGAAGATAAGCCAGTCGTGCTTATCCTGTCTGTTGTTATAACAACTGCCTCTGAACCTGACAACTCAGCTTTTCAATGGGAAAATGAAACTTAAAAGGCATTGTTTTAATTTGGCTCTTCAACAGGTGTCCTACAATACGACTTAAAAGTAACACCAAAGAAACACACAAGCAATAAATTGTCAACAGTGATGACTAAAGCAAAGATTTGACACATCGGAACTTGAAAAAAAAAATTTACCAGCAGCTGAGATCCAGGGAACGCCTGCAAGATAGATGCATGAAGAGAGAAAGAGAGCGAGATTCAGAAAGAGCAACCTCCCCAGTTTCAACAGCAACTGTGGGGTTTTTGATTTTTTTTTTTTTTTTTTTTTTTTTTTCCCTAGAATTTCACTGTTTCGCTAGTATTGAATTTTTCATTTTTTCTTTTGGTATCAAACTGAAAAGGGAGAAAACCCAACCAAAGAACTGAAATTGAAATCAGATGCTTTTTTTATTGGATGCTGGTGCTAAACCTCCCAGGTGTGATGAGTTTTTTTTTTTTTCTGTGCCAGTCCTGTTCACTGCAGGATACGGGGAGGAGAAACTTCCGCTTTCCTTGGTAAGGTCTATTTGCAACTGTGCAGCATGGGTGACGTTCCTCACAAATAAAAGTGATTTCAACTACCAAAAAAAATCCATTTCAGTATGCTTGTTCATGTTTACCTTTAAAATAATTATTTTAATCTTGCTGCTTCAGCATTTATATGTGAAAATGAGAGCTTCCCCTTAAAGTCTGTGATATATGTTGTCTAAAACCATGCTGGCTGATACATGTTGAAGGACATGGCTAGGTGAGGTGAACCTACTTGCATCCAAAACAGCTTCTGCAAAGAAATTACACAATAAGCTATAACTTACATTGTCTTCTCTGCCCTTCTGGCTCAAATGGTGTTAGTGGTTGGGTTTCTCCATCTTGTGGCAGGAGTTTGGGGGATCTGGAGGGGGTTATTGAGATATTATTTTCCCCATCTCTTTTGCTAGGCTTTTATGTTCTGTAAAACAATAGAATCTAAGCTTTGAGTCTCCTGCTCAAAAAGACAAAGTGGGCTTAGTAACTGCCACTTTATTCAAGCTTCTGTTCCAAATAATGGCAGTATGTTCCAGGTTTCCTTATTTGAAACCAGTAAAATCTCTGTACCTGTGCTATCCTGTGCTAATGAGCAAAGTACTCAGCTGTCTTAGAAAAACACATACGTTACCAATGTTTCTCCCTAAGACTTGGATGTCTTACAAACGTTATCAGTCTGCTTCCAGCTGTTGAATATGTGTGTGTTTCTTCAGCTATCTTCTTGTCCTTCATTCTCTAGTACAACATTTCTCATGTTCCTGTCTTGCAGTTGCTGTTATCCGAACCTTAGATAGTATACGTGTTTCCTTAAAACACCTCTTTCTGTTCTTGGCCATGCAATCTTTACTCAGCCTTAACTAAAGAACATTTCATGTAAAATCCATTGGTCTGGAGCAACACTGTAGCTGTACGCATGTAGGACTAAATGGGAGTGGAGAGATTCTTGGCAGGTACTTTCCATCTTTGTCTCCTCTAGTTTTCTCATTCTTGCACACTATTAATAATTAAAAAAACTCAACCAGGTTCTCTGGAGACGTACTTTCTCATGTTACTCCTCTGAAAATGAGAAGTAGGAGAAGCGCAGGGGATAATTGCACTCCAAACCACTTTGCTTCCAGCTTCTGGGAAGGAGAGGAATGGCCCTTGCACTCTGCTGCCTTTGCCTCGGCAGGGTAGAGGGAAGGTTTAGTGATGCAGGAGTTGTACTGCCCACAGCTGACCGCGCTGGGGATTTCATGCTTGCTTCTGCAATGAATTAGGAACTTTTAATGGGGTGTGAAGTGAAAGCTACAGGTCGGGTTCAGGAGGGAGAGCACTCCGGACTCCCCCGAGTACCTACGTTGCTGCATTTGCTGCAGGCTCCTGTGGTGTAACCTGCCACTGCTGTGCTGGATCACATACCCAGCAGTTCTGAAAATATATGGGTAGGATTGCTATGAGACTGAGTTCCCACACCAAATGTGGTAAGCTGTAGAGTGGGAAAGACCTAGAGATGGACACGGTGGTATTCTAATGTCTGTCGTTGGAATATAAAGAGTATGGCTGCTTTGATACAGAACAAAACTTAGTAAGGAGGAAAGCATAAGTAATGTACCTTTTAAAAATTTTTAAGAAGGATAATCTTTAGTAGGCTTCAGTTTTGTTCAGAATTAAATTATTTCAGGCAGATTGGGGTGAGATTGGCAGTTTTGTCGTAATATAAACAGATGTAAGATATTCATAAATACTGAAACATCACTGTAGAACTTGTCATAAAAGCTACTTGAACTGCCTTCAGTTGTTCAAAAGTGTTTTTTTTTTTTTTTTTAAAGTAAGATTTGGCAGGCCAAATAGAATTTTCTTAATCTTTGAAAAATGTAGGTCAGATTGAATCAGTTTAACAAAAGTACCAAACTAGCCATCTTTATTTCATGAAAGGCGAAATTGAGGGAGAGATGTTATTAGTATCCTAGTGTCAAGTTTTATTTCTGTTAGTTAAGTCTTACCTTTGTGATAAGAAGCATCTTTGCATAAAACAAGCTTGTGACTGACATAACCCACTTCATCCTTGAATTCCTGGTTATGAAAATACAGGCTCAACTGTCTCAAGTCTAAAGCACTTACTGAAATGGCATTTTAGATGTCTCAGGCTGGGCATAAATTGTTCCCTTCCTAGGCCACTTGTTCTCCAGTTAGCTGAACTTTGGCTGAAGAAATGTAAAACTGGTGATCAATAATGAGGGTCAGTTCTCTTGGCAGCTGTGGTGCTTGTGTACTTGTGAATAAGGCTGTGGGTTATTTGCCTCACGCAGAACTTCAGTGGAGTACTTAGTTATTTTTAAAGACTTTTAGCTACAAGGATTTTGAATTTGCAGAGTAGTTAACATGCTTTTATACCTGCTTGGAGCTGTTGGTTTTGTGCTATGTTTGTTCTCTTATTCCAGCATTCTTCCCTTTCATGGGCGCTTACAACAGCTTACCCTTGGGGCGGCTTACACTTTTATAGTGCCTGGCTCAAACCAGGCTTTTTGCTTGTGAAGGCTGCTGTCTACTGTTATTTAGCTGCAAAAAAAAAAAAAAAAAAAAAAAATTCCCTGTGGCTTGTGACCTTTTGAGGAGGATAAAGAAGAAGAAAGTTCTGTTGGCCATTGTGCACAGTCTCATTTAAACATAATAGTCTTGCAATGACAAATTCATTGATTCACAGAAATACGTATCCTGTAAACATCTGCATTGAACAATATTATATCCCTGTGCAGCCCTTCCGACCCACTTCCACGGGAGGACTGTACACACATGCAACAAAATCCCTGGAAGTGAAATGGCCTTTCTGCTGCGTTTGAAAGACCTTTGGAGATTCAAGTTCTGTGTAGCACAAACTTTTTTCTCTCAGCTGTTGTGACGAGCTGTGTGCATACTTACTTCATGCCAGGGCACATCCTTGAGAGTCCTTGACGGGATATTCGAATGAACTTGCATGTGATCTGGATAGCAGGAGTTATAATGCCCCTAATAGCTCTAGAACAGTGGTTTTCAAACTCTTTGTAGATCCATGGAAATGTCTAATGAAATGGGAAAAGTCTGCAAGTCTGACACTTGGTTATTTGTTGTGCTTTTTAGAAAGTCTGGTTTTAGATCTTGAGTTCAAATCCGCAGCCTTGGACATTATTATCCTTTCTGCTGGTTTGGCTTTTTGGAGAACCAGGTACTTTTCAGTGTTGCTCTGATTCTGTAGAAAGAAAGTGCATGCTCTGAGATGTTTGGACATGCTGGCAGGGGGGAAACAGCTGCGTGAGCCAAATGGCAGTGGGACCCTTGGTCAAGCATAAAGGGGACAAAGTTTTGGAGGCCATGGCAAACAAGTGGCAGCTTGCACGTTATTTTGTGCTGTTGACAGTGGAGCAATGCGGATGTCGTTTGATTTTTTTGAGTGTTAGAGCTAGACAGTGATGCAGTGAGCAGAAAATGGATCCTGATGACTTAATACCACCAGCTGATGAGATGAATAATTCTAATATCTTAAGGTTTTAAAATGTGATAGGAAATACACACAGGAAGTTGTCACTGCGTTCAGAATTTCATCACTTTTCCTGACTCCATCATTCTTCAGTGCTTGGCTATCAGTCTGGAGTTTCGACTTGTAAACTGGGACTTTTGGAGGACCAGTAGAATTAGTCAGGAATTCTAAGGATGACTGGCCATAAAGTATATGTCTGTAGTAGGGAAAGAGATCTCAAAAATTCAGTGGGCGTTGAATTGTGGAGATCCACAGTCGTAGCTCAGATAAGCAGCTTGTATTAGTGTCAGCCTAATGCCATGTATCCTCTTTATTCACTTTTTGACTTTCCAAGGAGCCACAGAGAATTTTCTAGTTACCAGCAGAACTCCATCCAAGTGTAAAATTCTATGTCACATCAAAACCTTGTAATATTACTGCCTATGCCTATATTCCAATGACCCAAACCCAGAGCACCTACAGAAAACCAGGCAAGCAGACAGTAGTTTAGCAGAAACAGAAAAAAGAGAAAATACAGTAATATGTTTTTATTGAAAAAATGTAAACATGTTTTACTGCGGTGCAGAAGCAAGGAGGAGGCAGTGTTACAAAAAGTAAATCAGTATTAATGGAATGTACACAGAAAAGTTACTGACACTTTCATGCTGTGATAGTGCCTAGGTGATACAGTCCTTGCCCTGAAGGAAGTGACTGACTCGGAAGGAATGTTGTTCACCGCCTTCATTCTCAAAAAGCTCTTTGCTTCTCTGCAAAGATTGCCAGCAAAAAGAACATTATTTTAATACTAGTATGTGTAAATAGGGCTGTTATAGATTCAATATCTCCATACATTTTTCAGGAAAAATTGCTGCAAGGGTCTGGACTGAAATTTTGAAACTGTTTATGCCAGCAAGCAAAACAATTGGTATGGATTCTCTTCTTGAGCCTTTCAGAAATAATCTGAATTGGGGCAATAATCAAGAACTGGAAAGCACTAATACTAAATGAAATAAATATGCTAAACAAAGTTCTAGGCCACGTTCTGACAAGGAGCGATCCAACTAAGGGGACATGTGAAGTGTCCCCAGCCCGATCTCAGCTGTGTTACACCGGAGAGAAGGGCACGGTTTCAACAATCAGAATTTCTGGGAGGCTGCGCATTGGCCTTTTAGCTACGGCACCTCTCTTTCCCGGTAAGAAACTGTTACTGGAAAGTAAACAGTGCTGAGAATCCAGGCAGCTCGGAGTGCAGAAGCTGTTTTCATTCAGAAGAGGAAGGCGCTCTGAGCCGCGGCATTGCAGGCTGTTCGCATCAGGCAAGGCACGGCTCGGGTTGCTTTTCAGACACCCGCCTCGCACCTTGCTGACAGGCTAAGTACGTAACTAAGATCAGTAAATTTTGTTGTGACAAGGACAGTAAAAGTTAAACACTAAAGCATCTTAATGGGGGGTTCTTTTTAAGCGTTGAGCCCATAACCTCTTTGCTAAGCTTCACACACGTCTTGATTAAAGCTGATATCCAGTGGTTGAAATAAGACTTGGCCTGTCTACTCATGCAAAATGAACCAGGGTAAGCACAGATTCCAGCATCTGGCCAGGTGTCAACAAGAAATTTAAAAATTTCAACTGGTGTGCGACATGCTTATTAAGTGTTGCTTAACAGAGGCTAAGGAAACGAATAAGGAAACAGAATTCCTTACTGCTGTATTTGGGCATACGGCCTGGCAGTGCTCCAGTGCCAATTTCTCTTGCTCCTGAAGGTATTTTGCAGAAGCATGCTTTGCCTTCAGTACAAGTACAGGAAGCACCTGCACATAACTGCTCTACAGGCTCAGATCACAAAACTGGGGTTCACTGAGAGGACATAAAGGTATACTGCTGCTGCTGCTTTTCGTTACAGAAATCGTTGGTGATGGGGGATTAAGAGACGCCAACCCAGCAATCTGGTTTACTGTTACAGTTTGAAATTATGGGTGCGCTAGATGGGGCTGTTGCTCCACATGCTTTTTACTGAAAATTTATGATGCACCTTTGTGATAGGAAATCGGAGTGTTTCGGTGTGGGCTATCTGGTTTCTGCAGTAAGCTTGAAGCATCTAGCTGGGCTGAAATGTGGTAGATGGTGAGACGCATGAATCCCCAAAAGCAGATCCTCAGGTTGAAACGTAAAAGAAGAAAACCAACTGAAAATAAACACGGATTATTTTCGTAGTAAAATACAACTATCTTGCTGTACAGTTTTTCACTGAATATGCACTGAGCCTACACTGGTGGAGATCCCTAGCTCCCCTCCAGTTACTGTCGCACAGCTGGGAAGAAAATCGTAGGGAGGAAGAGGCAGACCTAGCCTACCCAGCCAGGCAGGTTCCCCAGGCAGAGTCTGTTCTGTGCTTCCAGCCACAACCCCTGGTTCTCTCCTCCCAGCTTCTGTCCCTACTGCTCATCACCATTAGGTGTTCGTGGTCACAGCTGGGAGAACTTTCAGGAGCCAGCAAAAGGGTGGTGGAGCTGACAGATGTTCACAGGTACCTCCAGCACCCCTCCTCTGAACTCGTTCTGTCCCTTCACCGTGGGGGAGCCTGGTACCTCAGTGTAAGCACCTCTTCTTGAGGCTAAATTGGTGCCTGATGGTTAATAGCTATCATTTGTCTGCTTTTTAGTGAGGAAAAAATTAAAATGCTTTTAATGCCATCGTTGACGGTGCTGTAATGCCTAATGCCTCAGCAGTTATACAGGGGAAAAAAAAAATAAATCAATTTTCTAAAATTCAGAAAGGGAAAGCTGTAAAGTGGTGAGACTTGAGGACTGAAAAAAACGTTACCAGATGCCTCCTCTCCTTCCAGTTACACTGTCTGATCGTGGGCCTTTCTTCTGGAGAAACACACTATTGTGACAGACTCATTGTAGCCTTCCAACCACAGGAAGTAGGACTCAATTTTATGTAAAAGATACAACTTCCTTGAATGTCACAATTAGTTAAAAGACATATTTTTTAGAAGTGTTGGTTTTGAGCTGTATTCTCTATTCCCAATAGGACTCCTGGATTCAGAAAGATCTTTTTTTTCATTTTTTTTTAACACTGGCCCCTTGGCTTAAGTGTCTCAATGAAAACTGAGCTTTATGGAAAATCTACAGTCAATCTATACTTAGTACTTTGTCTCCAAAAGATCACACAAAATCACAAAATTCAATACATTCCTCCACAAGCTGTTAAAGACAGTGCCTCTTCAAAGAATTTAATTTTTAATACAAAATTAAAGAGTGAAGACGAGGTAGTCAGAAGTACCGAAGTGACAACGTGCCATTAAAAATCCTCCAGAGATTAATCCAAGTGTAAGTTTCCTCGTGCTGGTCTGCCATTTTGCCTTACCTTGGCTGGAATGAAGACCTACCCACTGGAAAGTCAAGAGTAGAGTTCAAAGTTTTACCCTTTGTACCTCTAGAACACTTAGTATTGGGGGGAAAAAAACAAACCAAACAAACACAATAAAGTATTTTTCACTTTGGTGGGATAAACATTCTGTCTGTGAATCAAGATTAACCCGTTTTAGTCTAAAAACGAGGAAACTTTTGGTGGATTATTGAGGTGTGATTTAAATCATTAAATGCCTCTTCAAAGTAGCTGGAGATGCTCTCACTTGCTACATAGTGCATACTTTCTAGTTAAGAGAGACTGATTTTAAAGAAAGGGAAGAGCCTTCTCCTCAAAACTTGCACTGATTTCCATCTCAGATAAAATACTCATTTATGCATTAACTGCAAGCCACAAGGTGGTGCTCTTAGTTGACATTTTGACTACAAAAGAAAAGTAGGGTTTTTTTCTTTTTTAATATTACACAGTAGGAACATACAGAGAAAAACGTTTTCTAACATTGGTTAATTTGCTTTCTACAGCAATCCCACAGACTACAACACACACACAGTGCAGTCTATAGTGGTAAACAATTTATTTCTTAAATGAGATCTACCTTCAGAGGGTTTGAGAAGAGCAATATTTTTGGGAAGACCAGGCCAAAGAAATATTTAAAAATCCAAGGAAACACAATGAAACAACTACATATGAGCTGTCTGAATAATAAAATTCTGTAATAACACATAGTTGGCAATCCCCACATCAAACTAAATCTATCTGGAAATCTAGAATTTCACCTGTTTTTCATTTGGAAAAAAAAAAAGTAATTTTTCTGTTTTCCTTAAAAGGCATGTGCTGGTGCAGCATCACTGCAATGTTCCACTGCACCTCCCCTGCCCCCCCCATCTGTTCAGGTGACAAAGAATTCCACGTATATTGATGACAAAGTGAGTATGATCTTCCAGGAAGAAAGACACAGAAGTTGCGTATGCACACACACTACAAGGATTACTGATGATCATCATAAAAACATGCATGTTGTTACCTTTTACCTTCAACAATGTATACTTATATATGTGTGTGTGTGTGTGTGTGTGTAATCTCATTAAAGTACTGCCACAGATGTACACACGTAAGTAGTTCTTAGAAAGACTAAAACATCCATTTTCCACAGTGTTTGTGAAACCTCTGTGACTGGAAAACAAAAAGACTGGAGTGATTTTCCAAGGGATGTAGTTCTGCCAGTATGACTGAATTAAATTTATTCCTTTTATTGCTCTTCACCTTTAGGTTCCATTAGCACCTCTTGCCATTTCTTCTCCATCTCTTCTTTGCAACTCAGGAAGGCATCTTCCAAACGCCTCATGGAGTTGGCCAGGTCTGGGTTGGTACGTGTGACTACCATATCATATGCCATCCAGGCTGCCTGCACTACAAACCCAACAGATACTACTAAGCCAGGAATTTTGGCTAAAAAACAGTAATGTCTGACTCAATAAGCAAATAAAGGACATCCATTACTATCAGTTCAGATCTTATATCAGAGAAGGATTGCTGTCCAATAAAGTGGAAGCTGCCCACAGTAATGCTCAAGATTAAATGAAAGACTGTTGAGTATTACTTCTTTATAAATGCCTCAAAATACTTCAGAATGGAAGTATACTGATCTAAATTACAAAAGGGAGATAGACATTTCACCTAAAAATTACTACAAAGCAGGTAATCAAAAAGAAAGGTTAAACAGACTGTTTTAAAATAAATGACCTGAAGAATCCTCTCTCCAGACTAATTACAGTCAGGAGGCTTGTGTTGGGTGAGAAAGGATAAGATCAAGGAGGCTGCAGCATAGAGATGAAAGTTTTAAGAACAACCTGAAAAATTAATTTTGAAATAATGAGTATCTGATAAAGCAGAGCAACTAGTTTTAGCTCTTATATCATACTTCCTTTTTGTTTTACCATAAATAGACCATAGTTTTCTCAATGGCACTCATAAATAGTGTTTAATTACAAACAGTTTAATTAACAGTTTCCATCTATTCTTGTTAGTTTCACACAGTTTCCGACAGAATTGTTGCAGAACATGGAGAGGAATATGCAGTCCTCTTCATACATACAGGACTAAGATTAAATGTGCAGAGGAGTCTTTATCTGAGGAATTAAACACGTTGTGCACTGACCTGAGAAGTACTATGTATCCCACCATTTCCAGGATTAAATCTCATTTTACATACTTTGCTTTAATAACTGTACATTAAATACCTTGGTATTATTTCTGTTTTCAACCACCACTCGGAACTAAGCATCCATCACCTATTAATTTTCAATTCTGAACCATTATTTGCACGCTTTCTCCCAATTAAGATGAGGGCATTAGTTGATGGTGATTTTTTTCCACTTACATTTCTATAACATGGTAGTTCACAGCAATAAATATAAATAATAAATCTTCAACGTCTTCACTCTACTAGACAAATCTGTATGACTCTTAATAAAGACCTGTACCTGTTAGTTTTTCCATTTCCTCCAGAAGTTTTTCTAAGTCCCTGTTCAAATCCTCCACCGTCTTTACCATGTTATCATAGTTTTCTTCCTGAGGTTCTGATTCAGCCATCTACAAGGAAGCCAGTAATTTCATACTTTATTTTACTTTGCAGTGAGTTGATTTTCACAGCTGAGAGAAAGTAACATTGCAATACATTTTAAAACCCAAAATATGTATATAAATATTCAATTTACATTAATTCATTAAGAATCTGACCTCGAAGTTACTGGTCATCACCCGTATGCTGCACACTATTCTCAATCCATTTTAAAATTAATTTAAGTTGAAAGAATTATATTCAAATATGCTGTGTTTGTGCCAAATAATGATTTTGGTATCAGTAGTAACACAGATCACCACATCAAACATGACAATAGAAAATTGTATCCATTATCCTGTTACAGTTGTCTTCAAGCTTCTGCCCCAAATACTCTGATGTAGGGCAACTCCTCATTTTCAAAGTTAGTTGCAAAATCCTCATTTGTATCCAGAATTTCACACTTGCATGCTATAGCCGGTAGCTGCACATGCTGTTCTGTCACCACATGAGCAGCTAAGTGCTTATGATTTACCAACCTCTATTTAAGTTGTAGGTAGTAAAACAGAGGCCCAATTTACACAAAAGTTTCAGAACCTTGATATTAAATAAAAATGTGACACACGGCCTTCGCCTTTAATTTCCTTTTCTGAAAACCATGGATGGATGGCACGAAACTATGAAGAAGGAAACCAAAGAGCTTCACTGTAGTGGCTGTACACATCACAGAGCAGGCATCGTTTTTGCCAGCTTTTTTCTATCCGATTTCTCAAACTCAAGAAGTGGGTATCCATTTTCCGGTTTTCATTGTTGATAAATGTGGGAGGAATGCAACAGTTTATAACGGCTTTAAGCATTTCAAAGCGATGCCGAGCCTTATCAAGACGCTGGGTGTCCAAGAGTATCTTCACACAACCATGAGGTAACCGTGTGCCGACAAACCCTTTACCCCAGAGACCTCAAAAAGCCCAAACCCCTCGCTGTACCACACGACGGGCACGCTCGAACTTCCCGCCAGGCCTGCGCTACGCCCACGCCGCTGGCGGACGGCTGGGACGAGTCACGGGGCCGTTTGAGGGGCCGTTCCCCGTGGGCGTCCGCGGCCCTCCCGCAACCAGCCCTCAGTCCGCGCCCTCCCTGCCCCGCCGGGGTCGACCCTCCCTCCCTCCTCCCGCCGAGGGGGGTGTCTGGCCGCCCCCGCCGGCCCCTCACCCTCCCCTTTTCCCGCCGGCGCCAAACGCTTCACCGCTCCCCGAGCGCGAGGGGCCCGCGCGCTCCCGCCTCCCGCGTATGCGGCTGTCGCCAGCGGGAGTGGGGACAAGAGCGGGCGGGAACGGGACACCAAAAAAAAAACCAAAACCGCCGTTCTATCCTCTCCTGGCCGCTCTGCCCCTGAGCTCGCTAACTCGATTAATTTTCTGTTTCACGAAAACAGGCGCTTGGGTGAGGAGTTAGGCGGCCGAGGGACAGGAAGGGGAAAGGCAGGGGTTTGCCCCCCCGCCCCGAGCCGCGGCAGGGAGGCGCTTCGCGGCTCAGGGCCCGGACTGTGGCACGGCTCCGTGTTTCGCCACTCCTCTCCTTCCAGCGCACCCTCAGCCGGCCCGGCACCGCGACACTGTGAGGCCCCTCAGCCGGCCTGGTCACCCACCTGGCCTGTGGGGCAGGCTGGGCCTGCTGGGCAGCGCCTCGTCCCCTGCCTGCTGCGGTGCGGTAGTTGCCCTTCCCTGGAGGCTGGACAAGAGGAGGTAACCCCCTCTCCCTGCTTACGGCCCCTCAGGCTGTCCCTGCGTTCCCCCCGCCCCTTATGTTAGCCCGGTGTGGGGTCTCCCTTCACCCTCCGCTGCCCACCCCAAGTCACGGCCAGCTGTCGGCAACCGAAGATGTGGCAAGACTGATCACACCAGATGACCTGTCATTGCGGGAACTGTCCTGAAAGTAACCCAAAAGTTACGTCTTGAGCCCGAAGTTCGAAAGTTTGAGTGGTGCCCCTACTTCTTTTGCGTGGGGGTCCATCTCCCGCCCTGCATGATGGAGAGAGGCTCCAGACCAGGGCCTGTGGTGACAGGACAAGGGGCAACAGTTTTAAACTAGAAGAGACTAGGTTTAGGTGGATTGCCCAGAGAGGTTGTGAATGCCCCGTCATTGGGAGTGTTCATCAGGCTGGACGGGGCTTTGAGCAACCTGATCTAGTGGAAGGTGTCCCTGCCTATGGCAGGGGGGTTGGAACTAGATGATCTTTGAAGGCCCCTTTCAGCCCAAACTGTGCTGTGATTCTATGATCTTTGTCTTATTAAAAAAATAAAAAATTAAAAGAGGTGTTTGCAGGAGTAGGCAAAGAAGGGTTAGAAATTTTCTGATGACTGAGCAACAAGACTCAAAATTTGTCAAGAGTTTGCAGATACTACAAATTATCTGGTATATAGCAGGGTGAGAATCAAGTACTTTCTCTGAATTACTTATGCCCCAAATTGTGTCCCATTCCAGATCTTAAATGGTTTGGTCTGTCTCTTCTCCTTTTTCATCCACAGAAACAGAAACTTAGTCTTGTTTTTAAATGATTGAGTATGTTAGTATTCTCATCATGCATGAAACTTACTCATCTCTTGATATCACCACTCATTTCACTGCCAACTGAGTAGCTGGTTTGAAGAGGGCCATCTGTCTTCAAAACAAATAATGTGAGGTATTTATTCACCCAAGTTACACAAATGCTGCGGAATTTATCACAGCATTGTGTTGCTAAAATTTTGCAGGGGCTCAGAAGCAGTTGAGCAAAATCCTTTAAGGCACATGACAGAACAAGTTATATTTGGCTAAATAAATCCTTGAACCACAGGCTACTAGAAGCTGGAGAAAGTGTTACAGGAAGTATCATTTTATGGTGTTACAGTCTTTCATTTCCCAAGGCACTCTCACTGCCACCTGTCAGAGGCATAGTACTAGGCCGATGGACTCTTGGTTTGAGGTGGCACAGTCCTTTCTGAAGTAACTCCTTTAAGCTGTCTCCCGGATGCTGCCTCCCCTCTGTACATGTGTGTATATGTGGTTAGAAGGCTGATTTTTGGTCTAGAGGTGGTGGGTTTTAATACTGCTTCATTATTCTGTGAAGACCTGGGCAGCAAATATTGTGTGTTTATGCATGTAATTCCAATAGTTTAGCAGCCACCTTGCTACTGCATAATAATAAATGTGCTAGAAGCCATTTCCAGTGACACTGGCAGATAGGAGCACATTTTGTTTCAACATGTCTTGGTTTATTTGTGATTCTTCTCTGCTATAATTAGGACACAGCAATGTGTTAGAGGGCGAATTACAGGTGTAAAAATTATATTATTAAATGGAGTAGTTCTTAAATACATTTTTATGTAACAGTGATACAGCTCTTAGTGGTACATACTTTCTAGTTCTTCTACAGTCTCTATGTGTATCCTTTTCAGGGGATAGCTGCCTTCTCTGATTCTTTTTGGTGTGACGTCTTGCATTTTATTCCATCCTGAGACTGGATGTTTAGGTCACTATGGTTCTGTTCACTAGGTTCTAGGTTTTGCCAAGAGGAGCTGTTGGGTTCTTACTAGAAAATGGGAAGAGTGTAAAAATGCAGTGGCAAAGAGCAGGAAGATAAAAGGAAAATTTATATATTTAACAAAAAGAACATAAGAAACTGAAAGAGGAGAGGTAAAAGTAACAGAGAAATATGCATACATATTGGGCTCAGGATGTTGGTTGCTCAGGACAAAAGCATTTAGGAACTAGACAACGTGGAACTGAATGCATGTGATATGTGTTGCACCTAACTTACAGTCTAACAGTTTATCTGTCAGCCCTGAAGTACAGCGAGAGGCTGTGGCCAAGCTACCACATTATGCTGTGGATAAGTACGGCTTGTGGGAACCCAAAAAGCTCCTGCTCAGGGAAGTTACTTCTTTGAAGAAGAGAAAGACAGTGGAATTTAGTCCAAATGTATGGTATGAAATTTCTGACATTTGACCAAGACATGTAAATGAGGAGCTAGGTTACCATTTGTACCTGTGACGTCAGTGCAGAGAGAGAGGATTTTAGTATTTGATATTGCTTTACAGAAGTTCTTGTGACCTTGTATTAACTCTGCAGAGAACCTAGGGCAGTTATGGCCTTAACTTAGTTTCTCAGCTGTGTCGAATGAATCAATGAATCCCAGCTTCAGGGCCTGGAAAATCTGCCAAAGAAACTGAAGGGGAAAACTATACTGTAGCCTACTTACACCTGTACTGTAGCCTACTTTAGCATATAACCAACCTTCAGGATATTTCTTAAGCATCTGGTTTGAGAAGAGAGGAGTGACCAGGCCAGTGACTGCATGAAACTGTGCAAATGAAATTTCCATTTAGCTTTAAGAAAAGAGTTGGAAGTGATAAGGTCCAATTTGGCAGGAAAGTGGGGGAAAAAGACTGTTACTAGATGCACCTAGCCCTGAAGAGAGCAAATGCTGGCAAATTACTGGACCTTCAACTGGGTGAAGAAGATGGATTCATAATCCTTCAGTCATTTCATTTTTATAAGGAGAAGCTCTTTTTTTTTTTTTTTTTATTTATAAAGAAATAAATAATATATAATGCTACCCCCTCCTAGCCTTTGTTCCCTTGGAAATTTTAAATAACAAAAGCTGCAAGGATGAACTGAAAATCACACTAGAACTACCATTTTCAAGAAAAATCTAAATATTGACTAAGCAATGAATTGTTCTCAAGTCAGAAGATCTGCCATCTTGAGAGGCAGAGCTGATGAGGCAGAACAGATACTTGGGATAATGATGGGAATTTTTCTTTCCCTTCTAGATCATCTGTTCTGATTCTTACCCCATTCAGGGATAAATGCCTGCCTTGCAGAAACGTAAGAACAGGTACTGAGCCTTCCAACCTCAGTGGGCTTAGGCTGACCAAAAGATCAGTCACAGTCTATCAGCCACAAGCTACAGTTTTAAATCTTACATTAGAATGTGAGAGTAGTCAGAGACCTTACAGCCTCTAAATTAATGCAGAAAAAGTAAATCCCCCAATGCCATTTAAGAAGGGGATCCTTTCATCTGAAGCTTGCTTTCTCTGTTCCAGAAGCAGTTACTTGGAGTATGCTTACCTTCTGGAAGTTGAGCTGCAGAATTAGCACCCTTGTTAACAGTCTCAGCACATAGAACAAAGACTGAATGGTTTGTGGTTGAATTGCTGCTTAGTCCCAGAAACACATCTTGAGGCCATTGAGCAGATGCCATGTGGTTTGGATGGTTGCTAGGTGTGCTATAGCTGTGTTGGAGATAAAGAGGACATTTTTGTTAATAAGACTGCCAGTGTACTGCCTTTCAATGTACCTAATCATACTTGCTTAAGGAAAAAACAGAGGACAGAGGCATTCAAAAGTACAGTGTTTTCTTTGTGGATGTGCACACAATACAGGATTTAGAGCAGAAGTTTGTTTTTCACAGGACAAAACGTGACAATAAAAGTCTGCTGTTCCTTAACTAAACAGAGGGAGGGGCTTGTGGATCAGTGAGGAAGATTATATAATCTGAAGCCTGAACTCTGAACCATTAAAATATCTTCTCCAACCAGTCAGACTGGGAGGACAGGCAGGGAGATCGACTGGGAAAACTAAGCATCAGCAGTTGTTGTTTTAACATATGCATACCTTGAATATTAACCCTTTTCCTTTCCCACTCTTCTACAGTTGGGTACTGTAGAAACTGTGAAGGAAGGAGCAAAAGGAGGAAGATTTAAAGTTTAAACAGGAATCTGAATAGTTTCCCCCAGGTGCCCTTGGAAAAGTTGTCTGTGGAAAATAATACATTTCAGTAAAGAACTTGTTTAAATGAGGAATTGTCCTTTGCAGTTTAGCCACTTTTTAATGGGGAATGAGGTATAGGACAGATCTCCAGCTCCTTCATGGAGAAAATACTGCGGAGACTCAATGCAAGTTAGTACCAGAATAAGAGGAAAACTGAAACCAATCTGAGCTTACACTCTGCAGCTGTAGTGATATTTATGACTCAAGAACATTTTCAGTCTAGATGTCTCTCCTGGTTTCTCAGGGGATGAAAGTCCACATGACAGAGCTATTTCACTAATACTATTTTGCCAACTTCTGCCAGTCTCTGTAGAGAGATCAAGCAATGCAGAAAATCACTGCTGGTTTTCACCATTTTGCACACGTGGACAGTAAATGCCAGCTGAAAGAATAACCCCAGAAAGAAGTTTCGGATGTAATGGTGTACAAATATATTGCTATGCAGTCTCTCTTATGGATGATTTAACTATTATGTTTCGGTATCTAAAGCTATTGTCTCTACCGCAGCTAAAAGTTTCTCACAACAAGATAATATATGCAGCACCAAAGGGTTAACAGGAGTAGGTAGGTTTTGCTCAGACAGTTGGCAGAGATCATATAATCTTCTATATCTTCCCAAAGCTACCTGTGTCCTGTTGTTGACTGTGAAATGAACTTTGTCTCTCAACAATAGGTGTTGTGTTGTTTCCTCTTGTAATGCACCTGCCTCTCACTTGTGTGAAGTAGGTAAGCAAATAATCTTGTACAGACTCATATAACCAGGAGTCAGGAATCTGAAACTCTTAATACAAGATTTTTCAGTGATAGGGGAGGGCAGGCCAACAGCTGGGACTTGCATACACGGGTTGGGTGGGAAGAAGGACCCCAGAACTAAAATGCCGAGGAACTAAGGTGCAGTGAAGATTATGCCGCACAGCTGCTGAGGACTGAGGGCACTAGCAGAGCCAGCAGTGACCCCAAGGGTATCATAGCAGGAAGAGGTCACAGGGCAAGTTCAAGAATATTATCTGGTCTGGCTGGGGAGCTCAGGCTGGATTTTGAAGTCATTTTGTAAGCGAGGGTCATTGCCAGGGCTGTGTGGGAGCTGGACTGGTGGGAGGAAAGGGCAGAGAACAGCTGATGGCAGGGCTGGAAAATGGACAGCCCAAGCAGGAAGGATACAAACAAGCAAGGCAGAATGTGAAAAAAGCCCGTGTTGTTGCTGTCTGTTGTAGCATGTTTTGGTATTATTAATCTTTTCTATCGTTCTTCCTTTGCAGATGGTGTACCTGGTAGAAAGCTTTTTCAGCATCTGAAGTCTTAGGGGGTTTGTACAGATTTTCTGTTCCAAGAACCCGTTTTTTCTAAATGTGAACCTGTAATCTGAAGTGTATTATTTCTGTTTATTATGTTAGCCTATCCCTCTTGATCTGTGTTTGCCTGTGTTTCCAATTACGATGCAGGTCCCCGCCCGAAGACTCTTTGCTTTGTCTGTCTCTGTCATCACCGGGTGAGCAGCGGGTGTGTGGAAGCCAGGCAGACCCGTTTTACAAGTGTGTGCCTATTTGTCAGCTCCCGTGTTGGACATACACTCAAGGGATCACCCTGAGGAGACAGCTGAGAAGACCTTGAGGAGTAAAGAATTGAAGGTGGGCCGGTCTGGGGTAGGAAAATCAGTAAGGAGGAACTTAGTCATAAGAATTACAACCACACAAGGTAACCAGCGTTATCAGGAGTGGCCTCCTACAAGCTGGGAACTGGCAGCAGGCAAGCTTCAGGAAAAGACTACTGCAGGGCAAGAGAAGTGGTGTAATTCAGGTAAGTAAAACGCTGCTGGAAGATTAGCTAACAAGTATTTATTTAAAAAAAAAGACATTAACGTAAATGTGATTGGAACCATATAGCTGTACTGTAAAGTCTGTACTTCCATGTATGTATGTATATACATTGGTGCATGTACTTACTGCTTGTATTGAAGTTATTTATAGTAATACATTTCTGTGATCATTATGGTATTGGGGTCTGAGAAGATAAAAAAGTGTTATGTCCTCTACACATAGGTTGAGTTAAGCGAAATAACTTCCAGGCATATTTTAAAGAGGAAGAAAACAACAAAGGGAATAAATTTCATATAAAATTAGTCTCAGTTCACTGAAACAATGCAGGACAATGCAGTGCATGTATGTATAAATATGTTCAGTGTTGGGTTAAATAATACATGCCTACGGCTGAATTCTGGACTAATTAGCACTTGACTTCCATCACTGTTGCTTGATTGTAAGAAGCTAACTAATCCAAAGTGGTGCAGATATCTAGATTTTTCTACGTGCTTATCTGTTTGCATGTATCTGTCTGTGTGTGTGTGCATGAGCTACTGATTAAATTATAAACGAAATCTATGTTAAATGCACCAAGAGACATCCAGAAGTTGAGAAATGGTGAAGCTGAAGTTGTGTACGCAACTTCAGCTCAGTTTCCTCGTGGCTGTGCATTTATGAAAGCAGATTCACATTCTTAAGCATTTAAGCATTTAATTTAAGCATTTAATTAATAAGAATTGCGAAATTCTTAAGCAATTATGCAACGATGTGATACCATGCAGTATTTTTATCACACAGTGTTTTTTACAACAAGAGCTACATGCATGCATGGTCCTTTGAAAAATTCCTTCATTCTTCTTATGTCTGGTCACAGCTCTTGCTGTCACAGTTTTTCAGAATATCTGTATCCAGTTTGTGCCAGGGTTTGATACAGACTTAGTACTTCAGCAAACTCATAAGTCAGTCAGTAAGAAAGAGACAGAATGGCCAGTGTTTTCAAAAGTAGTGTGTGATTTTGATTACGCAAAAAGGAAGTCATAGGAAAGAGTGTGCTGTTAAGAGTTTGGCCTCTGGACTTTTCATATTCCGAACAGCTTGCTCACTAATGGCTTAAGGTTAATGCATTCCTCACTCTTTAAAAAATAATTTAACTTTTATTTTGCAGACTACCTGTGAGGAATTACTTTTCATGGCCTTAATTCAGGGGGAGTGTGATCAAGATATATGTTAATTTTTCAGAAACTATAGTAGGCTGTGTCTGCATTAGGAAAAAAAAAAAAAAAGTCTTAATCACCATTCAGTTTTCTGTACTGTTTCACACTTCTGTACTCAGACTTCCTCACACTGCACAAATAAATTAATTTTTGTGAGGTGTTCTGAGTTTAAGCAAGACTTAGCACCACGAGAACCTGCATATCTCCACTGATAAGGTGCCAGTTTGCCGTAACCTTGTTATCATAAAAGCACAGCAGTGCAGAGTCCTCCTGGCTCACATTTTTCAATGCAGTAGCGACTGCTGACTTTGCCTATTTCTGTTGCACCCTTGAAAAGAAGCCAAGTTTGCCCTGAGTAATCCACCTGCTCAAGTAGCAACATTGACTTCATTATTGCTGTTCTCTCCATGGTCTAGCTCTTCAGAAGCAGTCAGCCTAATTTTCTTTCAGTCCTTTAATGTGCTTCAGTAGCAGCTAGCCTAGGTTTGATGTTCAGGTACTACTTCTAATTTTGGACCGAGAGAAAGTCTTGAGTCACTGTATGTGATTTCTTGAAACACTTGTTTTCTTGCAGGGTGTTACAGCTACCAGCTGTTGCGAAAGTGAGTTAGAGTACCAGATCTTTATAGCTAAGACATTATTACAGCTGGTACAGCAAACCGCAGGATAGAAGTTCAAGACAGAAGTGAGGTGGCTCTGGTATGTTATAACCGGGGTTGACTGGCCAGAATTTCCCATTCTGCACAGTTGGAGATGCTGCTTGGTAACCCACATGTGCCTTATGGTAAGAGGTGAGATGGCTCAATGGGCCAGGGAAACCTTGCAAAGATGTCATGATCTGCCAGGCCGTTGGAAGGTCTTCTGGAGGCAGAAGAGCCAGGATATGTAGTGTAACAAATAGATAGCTTTTTGCAGAAATACGTTCTTACGGCATCAAGTTGTTAGGCTTGAAACCTGTGGGACTTGTTTTTTATTTGCTTTGGATGCTGCTTTTAGTCAAATGGTGGACATTACAGGGGAGGAAATCTCTGCTTCGCTTTTTGCTTTTCCATGGTGCTTTTCTTCTTCCTATTCTCTCACATTCAGTGTCCACAGCTGTTCAGCTGATGTGAACCTGCATATCGTGGTTTCACTGCCACTTTGCTTTGTGCAGTTCCCTGGTATCTCCCCTACCTTTCAGCTGCATACCCAGGGCAGTGTGCTTGTGCATAACAGTTGCCTAAGCCTTGGCTGGTGGCCATGTTCGAAGGTCTTATAAAAGAGGAGGAAAATAATAAAAGCAGTACAGAAATGGTGACTGGAAAAGCTTGGGAGTACGGTTCTACCACTGTAAGAAATTCAATAGAAGGCATCATGGTTAAAGGATTTATGTTGTCTTTTTTCAGTCAGGCAGTATGCTGGGCTGAAGTAATTACTCACCTGTTTTTTACATGCCTGTAGCCATATTACAGTTGGTCCTAACAATTAGTGCATGAAAAACACCTGTAAGAATATTTTTATAATAAAGTGGTGTGCAGTTAATGAAGTCCAGGAAGTCTGGAGAAATAACTACGTTAACTCCATATCAGCTCATAGCACAGTTTAAAAGATCTACTAAAGAACCAAATGAATCTTAGCCTTTATTATTGTCATATTTAATTAATTTAATCAGCTGTTTCTTTAGACAGTATAACTAAACTCAAGGATTTACACATTTTCACCGATGATGGGAACTGATGTTAGTTCCCAAGTCAGACATATTCACTGGCAAAACTGTGTATTTACTGTGAATATGTACATCTTATTTTTCTGAACAGGGCAGGAGCAAGCAGCAGGCAGTTTCTGTGCGTCAGGTTCTCAAGCTGTCTGTTCCCGTATATTCCACGGACACGTTAGACATACTTCTCTTCCTTTTCATTCTTCACCACAGTGTTTGTCACTCAGGCTTCTTTACTCTTATGTCCTGGCACTTTAAATAGCATAATTTGAGCCTGCTGAGAAATTTAAGTCCATAAAATGCAAGAGAGGATTGATTATTTTAGGGCAGATGGCCTTCCTGATCCAGTTTACCACATTGCCATGTGAATGCTTGTGCTAGCACTAAGGGGACAGTGTACATGTGGGAATGAATGACAGAGCACTGGAAAAATCTTAGTAGGGCTTATGCTGGCACACACTGTCTGTGAATCTGTGCTGACACAGGGAATGATTTCACAATGCAGCTTTAGATGAATTAGCCATTCATCACCCCCGGTGGCAGGAGATCCGTGTTCCCTGTTCCTACTTCTGGATGTGTGCTCCTGCCACTTCCTGAAGCCCGTGCTGTCGTCTGTTGAATTGCTTGGTGAACTAATATCACTCACTAAAATGGAAAGAAATTACCATGGTGAAAGAACAGTGAATTTTTCCTGCTAGGTTAGTGGTTTGAATCAGTTTATTATGTAATCAACTGCACAGCTGGGAGCCACACAAGGAGTGGGAAGAGAGCTGAGGGAAGAGATACGCCCATCTTTTGGTGAGCACTTAATTCAGCCCAGCTGCATTCACAAAACCATATTCACACTCACTATTAGGCCTTCCTGAACCTGTTTAAGCAGCCCCTGCAAATGCCATCCTTTAGCTACTTATTCCTGTCCCTGTGTTGCCCCCTGTGCTTTGTCTGAATTGCCAGGGCAGCAGAACAGCTTCACACCGTTCACAAGTAGCCTTCTAGTACCGGTTTGCAAATGCTGTTGACTGTAGGTTTGCAAATGCTGTTGACTGTAGGTTAGCTTCTGCTAAGGTTTTGTCCCGTATCTCTCATTTTCTATGGGCAGCTGCTGCTGCTATTTCTAGATACCATGGTCTTCATTGTATATGTAGCCTGGACATGGAGCTTTGGATTCAGGTAGTAGTTACAGAAAGGCTTTGCTGCCATCGTTGTTGCAGTCTGCCTGGAACTGTGTAATACCTGAACAGTCAGTAATACATTGAGCATTGCCCTATAGGCCCCTGTATCTGCACTGATTTATACTCATTTCCCTCTGCCACAGCAAAAGCTCCCACATCTCTCCAAATCTGTTTAGTGGAAACCCTGTTCCCGCCTCCTGAGCTCTAGTCAGGGGAACAAACACCTTTCCAAAACTCATTTACGAAGACCTTCACAGCTCCTTGTTGCTCCCATTGAGTCCCTTGTGTTGAGAAGCTTTGTTCTAGAAAAGCTCATTTGCTTTCTGGTCACTGTTGTCAAAGGGAACGTGTCTTTCAGGAAGGGTTTGGTGGCTGAAACTGAGTGGGAACATACCATCCTTCCCTTGAGCCTTGGCATTCTGAAGGAAGAGTGGCCTAGTACTGTGCTTATTACTTATCATGTTTGATTTTTGTCTTGCACTGCCAACCAGTTTTCTTAAATAAGGTGTTAAGTCACACTGATGTGCTGCACAATAGAGGACCTGATGAAAAAAGATGCGTGTCTAAGAGAAAAAGGAAAGTTCCAGATTTTGTGTAAACAACAAAAATAATGAGTTTCAACTGACGGAGGAGAAAATCAGAATAATCTAGAAGGTTAGATAGGTCCAGGCAAGGAGAGCAGACTGTTGAAGCAAATGTGGTTTTGAAAGTAAACAATAAAGAGAAATCAATTTCAGTGAGTGGATTTCAGTGTATTTAAAAGAGTAATAGAAAAACAGTGGAATAACTAAGCTGACATTTACTTGTGATTGCACAAATTGCCCAGTGCATATTCTAAATTGAAGTAATGCAGGTTATGTTCTCCTGTGCTCACGATCTAGACAGCACTGGTCTTGGTACAGCGTAACGCAGACAAGGAAAATCAGCGTGCCAGTGAGGTACAGGTTTTGAACCTCTTAAGGTATTTTTGTCCCCTTATCCTGGCTTGGTACTAGAAAACTGTCTTCAAATAATAAAATAAGTAGTTGAGCACTGCCAGTATGCTTTTTGCTATGTGGTGAGTATGCACCTGGACACGGAAGATGTTAGTTCCGTGCAACCTCCATGTGTCCCCTACTACCATGTCCCCATGGTATACTGCAATATATATTTATTAAATGCATAATGTGAGATCTGTGAATTTCTGAGTTACTACTCCTGTTGTGAGGATGGAAATGTTGGAACTGCAATAATGTTACTGTTAAATGTTACAAGTCAGCTGCAGCAAGAGCTAATTGTGAGAATTCATTTGGTCTGAGCTTGGAAAGTAGCACTGAAAGGCTTATTAACTGTATTTTTTTTTCCTGCTTCCCAAGTTTTGAAAGAGGATAGACACACAGAGTGTAAATGGACTTGTCTAATCAAACTTTTCCAGTGGTAACACCTGTGCAGCTCCATAAACACCAGCAACAAATGGGAGTGCCAGTGCAAATGAAGTGCCAGTGTTCTTATTTCTGGATCCCATAGCTCTGCCCCGGGGATCGTTATGAAACATGGGTGTCACCCTCTGTCATCCCTGCTGGGAGGTGCATAAGGGAGTAGGTAGGAGGTCTGTTGTACAGACAGGTGACCAGTATAGACATGGCTGCTGCATCAATGTTTTTTTTCCATGGATCTTTGTGATGACATGAGCATGTTTCTGTGTAAGTAGAAGTTGGTATGGGTATGCCTATATATGCCTGTGCATGCACATTGTCTAAATGTGCATTGCTAGTGCGCATCTGTACAAAGCAAAGCCTTTAACTAGTGTTAAGGTGAAGCTTGGACTGTTTATGACCCAGATTATGCAACATGATTGGTGGCTGATGGTCCTAAAGTCTATTTTCTGTGATGCCATTATGTCTGTTCATATGTGTCTTTAGTATCTGTGTGTATCTGAGAGTGAAAGAAGCTAGGACTGTTCCTCTTAGGTGATACCTGTGTATTTGTGCCTGAGTGTGTGTATGTGTTAGCCAAGGTAGGTTGACTTAGTGTGCTTGCTTACAGAGTGTACGTGAAAAGCTTGGTCCTACTGTTGTATTATTGATCCTTTGACTGGATTCATGTTGTATCCACACCCTGAAACCAGGTGGATTTGCTAGCATGTTAAAAATTGAAGGAAATAAAAATTTAAACAGATGTTTTGTTATACCTTAAAGTGCAGATATATTCTATTTTCTTCTTTCTGCTGCCTCTGTTGTGCAACTGATAAAGCACAATTTCATCCATTAATTTTAAACATGAGAATGAACTCTGTTCAATGTTTCATACATCACCAATTTCCATAAAACCATATTAATATCAGTAAGAATGCCATTATTATTAACGTTTGCCATTGAGGTTAATTGCCTTGAACTCGTAGCTGAAAATAAGGTAAGTACTTGCAGGATAAAAGTCCCAATGCCTGTAAAACATTCTAGATGCTACTGTTTGTGAAGCTGTTAAGTTTTACATTTTTGGCAATGTTTATAAGAAACAGTGCCTAAATGTACATGCCTTGCCTTTCTGTCAGTCATCACTATCACCACACTGATTTTTATAATTTAAAAATAGTAGTCCAGCTCCTCTGCTGATGTAAATCAATGCAGCACCAGAGAGCCTATTCCTGTCTTATGACTTCAGTCCTCAATAAAGATAGTATACTTTGTGTAGCAATGGGGCATCTTTAAAATGTTTTTGCGTTCTCCAGAGAATAAACAAAAACACATACACCAATTTGAATGGAAATACAAATTTCTACAGGGGTGATCTCCCCCTGTCATGCAGAACAGCTGAAATTCTACATCAGGGATGTGTTTTGGGAGGCCTGCAGCTGGTCTGCAGTCCTGGCACAACTGAAAGACACTGGCTGGTAAATCTAGCTCCATCTGAGCAGGGTTGTACAAATGACAAATGCACTTGCACAATCAGAAAGTGTTGTAGGTGTGTGATTGCACACGCTAAGGGATTAGTGCTAGCTGAAATTACAGATGGAAAGGTGCATGCTTGCACAGGTTCTGAATTTTTAACTCCAAATTCAGAAGAATTCCAGATATTGTGCTTCAGACTTGTTATAGATCTGGCAGTGTTAAGGAGTGGGTAGCGGAGAGCCCTAATGACAAGACTTATTCTTGCCTTGTCTTTGGGGAGCGATAGTATGAGTTGTGGATGAGTTGTGTCAGGGTCTGTAGTCAAGAATGATGGACATTTTGTATGCATGCTGCTGGTCTGTTCATTTGTAACAGCCCAGAAGATAAAAGGCTAAGCCATTCTGGCATCTAAGAAGTGTGTTAGCTAGAAGTGTATGAGCTGTATTACCTATTCTTTAAATAGAATTGAGTTCATGAATATGAATTCTTGTGCATAGGTGAGCCTTCAGGCCTAGGGGTACGTGACTGCTTGTGAAGCACCGTAGAACAAGCTTAATCTTAAATTCTCTCTGATCATGCAGTCTACCATTTGTAGGATTTGATAGTGGATATCCGGTGTCATTCTCTAAACCTCAAAGTCCCAGTGCTCTTTCTTCACACAACCACTGATCGTAAGAGGTAGAAAGCTCCATACTCAGCTCACCTGTTGCTTCATAAATCATTCTTTCTCATAATAAATTTCATTAATATTCTTCATGTCTGTGCAGAAGAGGTTGAAGACCCACTTGCGTGTATTTGAACATGGAAAGGGATGTAAAAAGATTCACACGCATGCTACTGGAATGTAACAGCAATGACAAGCTATGTGGTAAGATTCACAGGTTCCTTCAAGTAATAAGCTTTCACATACTGACCAGGAAGTCCAACTTTACTAAAAAGTGGGCCAAGCCCTTTCCCTTCCTTCATCTGCATCCCAGACCACACAGAAGGATTTGACTGAGTTTTCCCTGTATTGTGTCTCAGGGGAGAAACTTTTAAGGGGATTCAGCCTTTCTGCTGGGATTCATCCCACATAATTTTAGACATTGTAGAGTATTTCTACTTTGAATGAGACATAATATAGTCATTAAAGATCCCTTGCAACTTCTGTAAGGACCAATTTTGTAAGATTTGATTTCATTCCTTTCTGTCACCTTTGGGAACCAAAACGTGGTTTTGGCCTATGCGGAAATAGCACCACCTCCAAATACGGGGACATAAGAGAGTTAGTTACCTGCAACATCCTTGTTAATTGCAATATCTTCCAGTCAAATTCCAAATCAGGTGACTACACCCTGTTTTCTTTAAAATCCTCCCTGTAATTTTAATAGAAGGACCCGAAGCTGTAATTGCACGTGTATTCATGATGGCGTAGTAATATCAATCCCTACCCACCTCCCTACTGTCCCTCTGCCAGGGCCAGTTCTGTTTCACTGGTGGGTGATACTTACACATGGCTACAATTCCTAGCCTCTGTATTAAGGGATCTAGATAAGTGGCCTTAAATGTGGGAGTCCCAGTGGTTTCGTGCAGCTTAGATACTCAGCACCTTTGAAAAACAGGGTAACAGCACTAACAGTGTTCAGTTGCTGTTCCAAGGAGCAGAGGATAGATGCACATGCTTTAGGGGTTGAAAGTTACTGAAATGAGTTATTACTGATTTGTTATACAGAATGAATGTACATCAGGCAGTGCTGCTTATTCCTTGGTTTCCCATCTTCTTTTTTGGCTAATAGTTGTGCGTGAATATCAGACTGAAGTGATTGTTGTCCCAGTTCTCCTTGTGGGTTTTTTTGTCATCGTGCTAACTGTGATCCTTTGGCTCCACTGTCGAGGCTTGCGAGCAAAGCAGGAGCAGTCATCATCATCATCTGGACACCAAGGTAAAAAAAGTGTTTTTCAACCAGAGGAAAGAGTGTTGGTTTCAGTGGCTGGACGTCAATCCCATTTCCCCATTGCTTGAGCTGTTAGGCAGTAGCATTTATGAAAAGCCTGAGTCATATTCAGCAATCCAGTGAACATTAGAAAAGCTGGGAACCCTGATCTACCCCACTTGCAATAGTAGTAGTGGAATCTGCAGTATAGATGGATCTAAGAAAACCTAAAGCAACATACTATATAGGCTGTTTAACATACCATGGTAACTTCACTTGAGAGCTGCAAAATGTGTTTATGTAACAGCCTTCTAGAGGCTACTGCACTGGGGTGATTGTCAATAACAGTTGTTTCAGTGTAGATCACATCTAGTTAATCCATTTTCTGTACTGTAATTTCAGAAATGTAATCTCAGGCTGCTGTCTCCCACTTCCTATGGAGACAACAGGAAATAAAACAGGGACTGGTGAAGGGGTAGGGAAAGGTTTGTTGCTACCGCCAACACATGTTGCTGTGTGGAAGTGAAAATTCAGTTCTAAACTGAATTTGGTTTTGTAGAGGAAAAGCCTCTTCAGACTATATTAAGGGAAATAATTGAGAACAAAGATAAGGCCTTTGTAGGAACACCCTGTTCGTGTCACTTTCATAACAACTGGTAGCTGGTAATAAAAGAAAATGGGCGTTGCTTCAGCATATGGGAATCAAGGACAAATGTGTCTTATCTAAAAAGTTTACATAGTTAAATATAGTGGAGGTCTCCAGACTCATTCTGCCTTTTCATCAGATAGAGCGGGAGATAAATTCCTTCTCTTCAAGAGCCAGGATAAGTAAGATACAATAACAGTTCCTTACTTTGTCCTGATTTCCAAAACCATATGGAGCAAAAATTAAAGAGGATGGCAGGCGGGGCACTGCCATCTACTACAAGAGTTCATCTGTTTGTTTTTACGCATCGTGTATATTTGCTTTTGTCAGTGAATGACAAGAATCAGCAGGAATCCAGCTCAACAGAGAACTGCTATATCCAGCTGAGTGAGACATCTGTGGAGAGCCTGCTAAATTCTGCGTCTTTGACTCTGAAGGAACTGGAGATACCGCGAGAGAAACTCTTAGCAGGCACCTTGCAGCTGCTAAAACATGGTCGCTATGGGAGCATCTACAGAGCACAGCTGGAAACTGGGAGCCCCGGGAAGACTAAGACTGTAGTACTGAAAGCCTTACAAGGTAAGGCACATGGCCTGGATTTGTACAGATCTCTGTAGCAGAGACATGATGATGGGAAGAATTTTGCAGTCATTCCTGGGCAAGAACAAGCTGTGTTCAGTATCACATTAGCTAATCATAGTGGTGTTTTGGTAGGACTAAAGAAGATTGCTGTTCATGATTTTAAGCTACTCACCCTATTATTTGCTCCCTCCATTTGTTTGGGGCTTTTTTTGAGGGGCGTTTGTTTGGTTTTGTGTTTTTTAATTTTCTTTGGAAGGGGGGGGGTGTTTGGTTTGGGTTTTGTTTTGTTTTGTTTTGTTTTTTTTCCTTTCAGACCTGGCTAGTCCCCAGGAAGTAAAGGATTTCCTGGGAAGGATTAAATTCCATCAAAATCTTGGCCATCATGAGAACTTGGTTGCATTGGTTGGATGCTGTGTCGACCAGCTCCCACTTTATATGATCATGGAAGATGTGTCTCTCGGTGACCTGTTGACATTTCTGTGGACATGTCGGAAGGTGAGACAAAAGAAGTGATGATAGAATATCTTCTTAAATTCCTTGGGTATATATCTATCCATAAGTCATAGTCCATAAGTCACAGATGACTTTTTGATCTCTCCATGCATCCCTCTGTATCAGTCTAAACTATCTCCATTCCCCAGAGAAGTTCTACACAAGTCTAAACTGGAATAGAATTAGTGGATATCTCAGTTGATATGATACAGTTTGGAGAAGCTGACTTACTTTTGTAAAGCTAAGTCGTACTTTGCAGACCACTGGAGTTCCTTGAAAGGTATAGCAGGCACTGGAATAAGAATGAGACCTGACAGAAATACCTGAATTTCTAAAAAGTTTAAAATAATGTCTCACTACAAATGCTGTTAAGACAGCAGAGCAGTTACAACACCAGGGAGAAGATCACTGAATAATAACTAATTGATTTAAAGACAAGAACGTAAGAGTGAAGGGTTAGTACCTGCACTGGAGGGAGGTTACCCACCTAAGACCTGGTGTTGTTTGTTGCATGTATCAGTAACCCAGAAAATGGGATGACAGTGAGGTGATGATGATTGCTAATGATTCCAGCCCAGTAAAGGCAAGGGCTGACCCTGAGAAATTGCAGAAGAATATCCCAAGATTGAGGGACTGACCAATAAGAAGAACAGATGAAATTCAGCATAGTTAAAAATAAAAGGATTCACATATGTAATGATGGCTTCATACCTGCCCATTGCTGATGAGGAGTAAACTGATGGTTCTGATCGTATGAAAATATACAGTCTGGTGAAAATGCTAACTCAAGCCAAAAAAGAAACCAAATATTCGGCATTATTAAGAAAGGCACAGAAACAAAACTCTGGTGTGTCACTATATAAATCCATCATTCTCCTACATCTGGAACACTAAATACAGAGAGATTGCTTGCTGTCTTTTTCAGCAGAAGGTCGAGGTGATAGCAAAGAAAGCTAGTCAGTGCCATGTTCAAAACAAAAAAAAGGAGGTGGTTCTTCATGAACTGGGGAGTTGACTAATAGAATTCTTTGCCACTGACAGCTATGGATACCAAAACTTTATGTGGTTTCAAGACAAGGCTGAATACATTAATGGAAGATAACCTTTCAAAAGTTAATAAACGTGTTGAAACCATAAACATCTCAGGAACTCCTTAAATTAAAAATAGTTGGGGGCTGGAAAACAACACAGGAAAAGCATTGTGTGCTTACCTTTTTCTCTCATCTGGGCATTCAGCTAGGATCACTGTTACAGTCAGAGCAGTAAGAGAGATGGACTGTTAGTCTCATACCAGGTAACCATTTGTATGTTATAAAAGTGCTTTACTACTCTCCCTTCTAATATATCTTTCATTGATCTGTATGGATTGTCATTCTCCACTGTCATTCTGCCCATTTCTGTCCAACCTATTGATCTTTTCTCCAGCCTTCAGCACACCATCCATCCATCAGCATCATTCATCCATGCACCCTTATATTTCAATAATTTTATGACCAATTGTGAAATCAGCTGGGGGAGCATAAGATTAGAGAGTACTCATGAGATTAGAAGGAAACATTCCTCAGTACCCTACAGCTATGGCGTTTGTCTGAACCAAAGTCTGCTCTTTTGTCTCTAGGATGTAATGACAATGGATGGTATCCCCTACGACCTCACTGAGAGGCAGGTATATGAAGTTGGACAGCAGGTTGCAGCAGCTCTGGTAAGTCTGCTCAAATTTGCTGTTTTTCCCTTCTTGCTTGATTTCAGCACAAGTCTACATGTTGGCCTAAGTCTTCTTGGCCTAAGCACTGAGGATGTGCTTTGTTAAAACTGAGCCAAGTACGCTTGTGTTATTTTGGTGAGCATACGCCTCTATTCCACAGCGTGGAAGACAGGCATAAACTGCGTGAAAATTTATATAAATTAAAATTCCTTTGAAAATGATCATGATCTCTTTCTTTTCCAACTTTCCAGGCTTACCTTGAAGAGAAGAAGTTGTTCCATGGTGACATTGCTGCCAGGAATGTCCTCCTTCATCACAACTTCACTGCTAAGATCTGTGGTTTGGGTCTGGCCTATGAAACTCACACGTATGGAGCCAACTCAGTCACGCAGATTGTGCCAGTCAAGTGGCAGGCACCAGAGCGGCTCATGAAGAAACCCCCCAGCATTAAGGCAGACATGTATGATTTAATTTTTGGACTAGAAGTTCATCTGTTTGTCAGGTCTATCTCTTTCACTCTTTTATGTATCATTTCGTGTCCCGAAGTTCACGTTAAGGCATATCTAGTCTTAGGGTAATGCTTCACTTCACAGCTTATGCCTTCCCTTCTCGTTTCTGCCGGTCATTCTCAGTTGTTTATATGTATTTAAGCTAGATAGCTAGCTACAGTGGAAACTTAACATTGCTTTGTTTTCTTTTCTTGCAGATGGTCTTTTGGAATTCTACTGTATGAAATGATTACATTAGGTGAGAAGATTTAATGATAATTAAAAATATGTAAGGAAGCAGCAAATTAACAAGACCCAAAATCTCGAATTCTAGAATGTAAAGTTGGGCCGTTTAAATAAACATCCCGTTTTTTCCAACTTGCAAAGTCATGACAATTCCTTTTAGACTTCTTGGCAGTTTGATTTGTGGTAGGAGAAAAATGGATTTTGGTAGGGGAAGAAGGCATACTTACACAGAAGCTGCTATCTGCAACCATTACCTTACAGTTTTTCTACTGCTATTCCTTTTGCCCTTCCAGGTGCTCCACCGTATCCTGAGGTGCCACCTTCTGACATTTTATCATACCTGCAGAGACAGAACATTATGAAGCAGCCCTCAAGCTGCCAGCAAGCCATGTAAGCCACTTCTTTACGGACGACTGAACTCAAGATGTGCAGAGCTAAATGGGAGTGAGACATACAAAAATAGATCTTACAGAATACCTCAAAGTCTAGGCTATACGAAACAGTAACCTGTTAGCTGAGGAATCTTGTTCTTACATGTCTGCCACATCTCCTTACTGGATTCTGGTGCATGAAACCTTGATTGCCAAATACCTTCTTTCCTGCTTTTGAAAACTGCTCTCGTTTCTGTTTTGTTGTCTGCTTGTTGCTCCACTGCTTCCCTGCAAGGTGCAGGACTGTTCTGGAGGAATCCTTCTCCTCTAAGTTGCAGGATTCTCCCTGAAATTAAAAAAGCATCCACAGAGAAGATCTAAGACATTATATTTCCTTTTCTGAAGACATAATTTCTTTTAATATTTAGAGGCTTTTTCTTCCATAATTGTGTTTCAGAAGGGAATACCAAGCAATCTTTCTCCTTTTTTCCCATACAGCTGACATCCTGGCACACAACTGAATGCCTTTGTCCCCATACATTATTACGTGGTTGCAAATTTCAAAGGGTCATTGAAATAACTTCATCTGAAGCAAAAAAAAAAAAAAAAAAAAAAAAAAAAGAGGAGGTCTCTAGATATTTTAAATAGGAGATGACTTGACTGTAGTAAAACTTTGTGTTGGTGCTTCTCATTCCCAGTGCTCCCCTACTTCTCCATCCTACAGGTACGGCATCATGAAGTCCTGCTGGCAGTGGAATGCAACTAACCGGCCTTCTCCAGCAGACCTGATTTGGTCCCTACAAACAGCTATAAAGACCAGCAGTGACCACGCAGTGCTGCAGGTGCCTGAGCTAGTGGTGCCTGAACTCTATGCTAATGTTGCTGGTGTTGATGTGCACAGTCTAGTGAGGGAATACACTATACTCTGAAGGACCCTTTCACATGGTGGTAAAGGAGAAGTATCTGAGTTTGCCCGTTTCAGACACTTTGCAAACTCAGAATAAGGTGTGTATGTTGGGAGGGATGCGTTTGTTTTTCAGACACTTTATATATATCAGATCTCTCCTTCATGCCAGAAACAACAAACTATTATTATTATTATCCTTATTACATCAATCTGTTGATATCGTTCTGCCAGTGGTCATTTGGAAGCAAATTGGGTTTAGGAAGCTGAGAAACTTGAGTTAAAGGGAGTGTATTGGATTTTCATGGCAAGGTTTTGGTAGCTGGGGGGCTACAAGGGTGGCTTCTGTGAGAAGATGCCAGAAGCTTCACCATGTCTGATAGAGGCAGTTCCAGCTGGCTCCAGGACAGACCCACTGCTGGCCAAGGCCAAGCCCATCAGCAACGCTGGTAGCACCTCTGTGATAATGTTTAAGAAAAGGTAAAAAATACAGCACAACAGCAGCTGGGAGAGAGGAGAGAGAATATGTGAGAGAAACAACTCTGAAGACCCCAAGGTCAGTGCAGAAGGAGGGGGAGGAGGTGCTCCAGATGCCAGAGCACAGCTTCCCCTGCAGCCCCTGGTGAAGAGCACGGTGAGGCAGGCTGTGCCCCTGCAGCCCACGGAGGACCACGGTGGGGCAGAGCTCCACCTGCAGCCCTGGGAGGGCCCCCCCCCAGAGCAGGGGGATGTGCCCAAAGGAGGCTGTGACCCCGTGGGAAGCCCACGCTGGAGCAGGCTCCGGGCAGGACCTGTGGCCCCGTGGAGAGAGGAGCCCACGCTGGAGCAGGTTTGCTGGTGGGACTTGTGACCCCGTGGGGGGACCCACGCTGGGGCAGTTCATGAAGAACTGCAGCCCCTGGGAAGGACTCACGCTGGAGAAGTTCCTGGAGGACTGTCTCCTGTGGGAGCGACCCCACGCTGGAGCAGGGAAAAGTGTGAGGGGTCCTCCCCCTGAGGAGGAAGGAGCAGCAGAGACAAGGGGTGATGAACCGACTGCAACCCCCATTCCCTGTCCCCCTGGGCTGCTGGCAGGGAAGAGGTGGAGAATATCAGGAGTGAAGCTGAGCCTGGGAATAAGGGAAGGGTGAGGGGAAGGTGTTTTTTAAGATTTTGGTTTTATTTCTCATTATTCTACTCTGATTTGATTGATAATAAATTAAATTAATTTTCCCAAGTCAAGCCTGTTTGGCCAGCGACGGTAACTGGCGAGTGATCTCCCCGTCCTTATCTCGACCCACGAGCCTTCTGTTGTATTTCCTCTCCCCTGTCCAGCTGAAGAGGAGAGTGATAGAGCAGCTTTGGGAGGCACCTGGCGTCCAGCCAGGGTCAACCCACCACAAATAGGTTTCTGGAAATCTTTCCCTATCCTTTCTGCTCCGGGAAATTCTATCAGTTAGATACTCAAGAGATGTCCTGGGGAATACGCTACGGGGCACAGCCTGATAGGAAAAAGTACACAAAGTAGGTAATACAAATGGGTAATCTCCTGTCCATTCACTAAGGACCTCTTCAAGGTAGTTGTGTTCTTGCCTTTTAAGTGTTCAATAAATGTCTGGGGTTTCTTCAGTACTTCATACTCTAGCTTCCCATGGGAGAATGGGTACTGTATTAAAAAAAAAAAAAAACAACCAACCAAACAAAACAAAAACCCCACACCAAATCCCTTGCATATTTGTGGATGCAGAGATTACATTAATGTAACACATCTTCACATAGAGTGTACCTTCATTGCAGTAGCTCTTCAGTCAAGTGTGTACTCCAAGACAAAAGTGTATTATCCCATGCTTGTCTCAGGAAAAAGTCCTTACAGACCGGAATTTCTCAGGGATGGTCCTTAACCAGTCATTTCTTTGAGCAGAGCAGGTTATTTGTTCACGTGCTGCTCTTTTGAGTTGCTAATCACTGCGTTAATTATTTTGTTTTTTGGGGGACATCTGTCCCTGGTTATAACAGCTACTGTGAAACCAGTATGGGTATGTTAGGAGTACACCAAATAAGAAAGGTTGAGCTACAGTAAAAGCAACATGTGATGAGAATAAGCATGCACAGAGACATTGTTGTGTGATTATAGTGAGAATGTACCATAGATTGTATTTATCTCTGTCGTGACACCTTTGCTATATGACTTCTGCAGTGAGGATCTGGATATTGGACAATACCTCCTTAGCTAGCCTGTGACAAGTGTGACAGTATGTAGCATGTTGTGAATACCGTGCTGATAACAGAGCTACTTCAGGGTCTCACATATAAACAACACAGATAACTTTCATAGTCATATGAAGGATATGAACTTGCGCCCAGTGAGCTGCCGCACAGGAACTCAAGATTCAGCTTAAGATAATAGTGTGAGGAATTTCAGGTATGTAGTTTTCTCGTGAGCCATTTGTATGCCATGCATTGATCAGTGGGTACATTTTAATGTGAGTTCTGGACTTGTTTCCACTAAAGATTTCAATGGCTAGCGTTGTTGCACTGATGATTTAGGTCAGTGCACATGATTTGACTAATCAGGTTATGAGTAGGCTCTGGCTGTGCCAGTGCCACTGCAGAAAGGTTAGTAGTGCCCGTGCTAAGCCTTGCCCTAGCACAGCTGAAGGGTTGAAGTCCCCATGGAAATACACCCATATGTCTTCAGTGTCTTCCTGGAAGAGGGGCTCTTTAATAAAACAAAAAGTGGGGGGTCTTGCTTGCTCAATATTTATATAAAATTTATATAATATAGGCTGCACAAAGCTTATCTGAAAATATTTGGACTTTTTTAATGACCATGCAAACTTTGTAAAAAATCAGATGCTCTTAAAGTCATGAACATTTTTTCTTCATTTCAAAAGAAGCAGAATCAGTCTGTGAAACAAATTTTCTCATCTGACTTCTACTCTTTGTGGTTTCTAAGTTGATAGTGCCTTAAATTTTCTATAATTATTTTGGCACTTTGAGCAGTGAAGGTTCTTGTGAAAAAAAAAAAAAAAAGACTAAATGCATGTTAAAGGAATAGTTTTAGTGTTCTGTGTGAAGAGTGAATTCAATGTTCACTCAGTATCCCTCCAATCAGCATGACCCTTGAATGTGTTTGAAGTCCAAGGGCATAGCGACCCACAAAGGGCTAACTGTGGTCAGTTACATTTGTTAGGCTGCAGTCTTTCATGTGGTTGAATCTCTAATCATTTCAGAACAAGTTGCAGGCCTGCAGCATCCTATAAGGCCAAAGTAAGTTGTGTTAGCCATGTAGGATGCAAGGCTGAAAATCGGTGGTGTGAAAAAAGCTAAACGATGGCTCTTTTAAAGGGGAATGTTTAGCTTGAAGGAAGACTTCCACCATCACTTTAGATATTGAATATATATAGCTGTAAAAAGCTGCTTAGATTTTGGTTTCCATCAAAATTTATTGGTCTTTCAAAGACGATGTTAAGAAGTTTTCGCTTTTAAATGCAAAATAATGTGAATGGAATGGTTGTGTTTTTTTCTGTATCACTTAGGCTTTGTAAGAAACTATGTTTCCACCCAGAAATAAAAGTAACGTCAGTTCATACAGCACATACATCACTACTATATACTGGAACATTGCAAACTCCATTAAAGAATGCTCTGTTAGCTTTCTGACTTTTCTTACGGTGTTTGCTAATTGCCACCTTAACGTCCATAGCCACTGTTGTAAGTCTGGCTTAAAGAATCGAAACATCTTCGTTTCAAAATGGTAAAATCGTAACATCCCTCCCTCTCTCCCTCGCTTGAAAACAGGTTCAAAGCTACCTGGTACATTTAGGTCAAAATCGCAGTTACCAGTCAGCGGATATTTTTTTTGGTGAATAAACTGTTAATTAAAAAAAAAAAAAATAAAATTGCTTGGTTCAAACCTCCCACCAAAGAATGGGATATTCCCAAAGGCCTCGCCAGTGAAAGGTGGGTGTGTTTCAGCGGTGTAATGCAATCTCAGAACCACGATCAGCATCCATAGTGCTGCTGCGGGGCCTGATGAATAACGCTCAGCGGTTCACAGGGACCTTTGTTAAGCAGAGAGATAAATGCCACAAATGCATCACTGTTCTCAAGGCTCCCGATCTTGTTACATCACAGAAAGCAATGTTCTGGTTTACACGAATCCTCATATTTTGTTTCTGTTATCAAAGCCCCGATCAAGGGGATCCGTGGGAATTCAGAATGCTGAGCACCTCCCGGCCTCTAGCAAAAGACCTGCTTTAGTTTCCCCTGGGAGCAAATCTGTGCCAAGATCCTGCTTATGAATTTGCCCAGAGAAATACATTTTCCTGCTATATGAGAAGGTCTGAATTGAATTTCCTTTCAATAAAGTGCCTTGATTCTCAATGTGAGCATTCTTACTCTGGTTTGACTGCCTTTTCCCCAGGTTAGCTTGCATACATCTGGGAGGGACCGAATCTAAATCAGGTGAGGTTTTATAGCGACATAAAAGGAATTAGAACTGTGGAGTTACCCTAGTTTAACTGCACTTCATGCTAATTAAAGCAGTCTATATAGAAATATTTTCCACATGGCAGTCTCTGTTCATGCACGGGTCTAAATTTTTAGGATCAGCATAGAGTCATGCATTGATTCCTCCTTAGTGCACCCCGTAAGGGCTTGGTGAAAATTTTTCACAGTTGTTTTGTGGAGAAGCATGGATTTTCAATGACAGTCTTTGTTTTATTTGTTTGAATGGAGTATCTTGTTCCCATGAAAAATGTTGGCTTTTGATTTTTAAGGTAGAATTTTCTCCAAGGTGGCAAGGCCATCCGCACAAATCCGCCAGTCCCTGCTGACTTAGTGTAAAGCAGAGGAGCCACAACTCGTGTAGAACTGGCAGAAGGGACCTTGCAGCTGGACTTTACCTCTCTGATTCGCAACACTTTTGACGATTTGCCATCCAAGCATGAGTCTGAGCATCTTTGAAACAAGCTTTTTACTTATCGGATGGTGATGCCTTAGGCTTGGGGTGCAAGCCTGGAAGCTTTTTTAGAACGTGAGAGAAGAATCCCTCCATCTGGAAGAAATGCAGCTGTTGCACTGCTGTCTTTTGTGTGTTTGAAGCCATGACAGTGAGCTGAGAGGTAGCGAGTGTTGGGGTCAGCAGTGCCGGTCTCTCCTCACTTTACTGCACCTTGGAGAGTGAGCTTGCCCGTCCTCGCTGCTGACAGGACAAGGAAGGAGCAGTTTAGCACCACAGCATGAAAATTGTATGCATCTGAGTGTTTATTTGACTAGCAGTGTGCTTTCTTGTACAGGATTGGAGACTGGAAAACAGTGGATTGTTTCACTGTCCTTCTCAAATGCAGACGTAGCCTGTCTTTCATTACGGATAGTTTACCTCTGCTACCCGTCTTCTTCAGCCATTTGATCATCTTTCAGTGAGAGACTGAATTAGCACCAACAGCTGTCCTACGGCTGAGAATGTTCTGTCCAGTGCAGGCAAAG